CGGGGCAGCGCGGCCCTGCCAGCCGGAACCGTGCCTGGCGGCGCTCCCCGGGTGCGGGGTGACCGGGAGGGGGATCCCCAGTCTTCACAGATGTGTGTGAAATTTATCTTCGCTGAGCAACGAGCAGCCTACAGTGCGCAGATACCTTCCCCCACGTTCTGGTTTTATTTTGGGTTTTAGTTCTCCCACTTTTAGCTATGTTTCAACTCAGTTATTTGTGGAAATACGGTATTTCCAGGCGAGAATCTCCAAGAGTAGGTGTTGCGTGTTTTACTCCTTCGGTGACTAGTCCGCTTGCCCTGGCGTCTGCAGGTGGGTTACTGGAGCCCTGGGTTGGCTGGTTCCCAGTCGTGCTGTCAGCAAACTCTTCGCACGCTGTAAGCCTGCAGTTAGGTGTGGTTTGGTGGGATGGTGTAGACACCTCATACAACGTGAATGATGCACAGAAGTAACTTTCTGTTAGTGAGTGTCATCTCCAGCTATGTGATGAGCACTTGATGGGTATTAACCCTCTTAGACAAAACCTTCTCCTTTGTTTTTGTAATGATGTTCAAGAAGGTGGTTAGAAATGACTGGTTACTTTTATTCAGCATTTCTGCTCGTTTTTGAGCTGTTATTTTCGTATTTCCCTTATGGGAATCTATTGCCAAATAAGGCTTGCTAGTCTGCAGCAACAGCTTTTTCCCCTGTTCTCGCCATCCCAGTAGGACTGGAGTGGGGGACTGTAGCTACAAGGAGATAGCTGAGGCTGCACAGGAGTTTTGGACAGATCAGATCTTTCCATGATGTGCTGCAGCCTCTTCACCCCTGATGTCGCTCCTAGTGATTGTTGCACAGACGTAGGGGCATGGCCCTTTCTGCAGGGGACCTGTCTGGAAATCTAGCTAGTGAGGTCAGAGGTGGCTTGGAGCTGTGCTGTCTGCCTCAGAGCTTTTCAGCAGTCTTCTGTGTTTCTGTTTCAGCTCCCTCCTCCCAGTGCTGTGTCAATTAATCAATTAAAGAGAGCGGTACTGGGAGGGGAAGCGGGGTTGTGGCTGGAGTGGTGCTGAAGCAGCTGGATGGTGGGCAGTACAGCTCTTCTGTCCCTGGCCTGTCCCACCCAGATGCTGCCATGGTTGCCACGCTCCTTGTGTCCGCTCAGCAGCTCCTCATCCGCTTGCCCTCACAGCCTTGGTGTGTGCTGGTGGACACAATCCCCTGTTGGAGAACGGTTGTGTAATTGGTTTCTGCTTTAATACTGAGAGAGCAGATTTTGAGAACAGGAGTTCTTCGGGTTGAAAAGTTACGCTAGCTGTGTCAAGACTTAAGTTAACATTTTTTTTTTGTAACCCTTCCCTAAGTGCCGTGTCTGTTTATAGTTAGAAAAATGTGATGGACTTGCCTTGAATAAGTTATTAGTTCCCACCTGTTGTACAGCAAAAAAAAGTAGGGACGTGCATTGCGTTTCAAGTTCTGTGTACAGAGCCAGTGCTGCATTATTACTTTTTAAACTGTCTGATAAATATCTCTCATTTTACCATTTAAAAAAAAAAAGTGTTAGCAGCCCACCGATGTTGCTGTTGCATGGTATCGCATGCCTTGTATGCCGAGAGGAAAGCGTTCAGAAAGGCAGAGATGGATGTAGCGCTTCCTCTGCTTATTAAAATGTCACGGAGATCCGTTACTTAACTAGCAGATTGTGGGCACGAGACAATTTTTGAAAAACACCTGGATGAGTAAATGGAAACAATATCCATTGGGGACTTGCTGAACGCAAAGATAGTGTGTTTGGCTTCAGAAGGCAAGCACGCGAGCTGCAGATTCCTTAGTATGCTCACACCCAATTTCTGGCGTGTATGGCTGTGTGCTTGTTCTGGTTTTGTATCTTTTACTTATATACCTGCAGTTGTAGAGCTAACTTACGGAACAGAAGCATATTGGACTAATTAGTGGAAGAAATGCACCCTTGGTCTTACTTAGAGTAGTCCTTTGTGTGTTCTTCAGCCCCTTGTAGGATGTGGTCATGCTGCGGAGTAGGTGGGCTGCAGGGCTGCGTCTTGCTTCAGAAACCTCCTCTGGGTAGCCTGTGTTTTTGAAGGCTCTTCTGTAATGGAACAGTAGGGAAATGTCCCTCCTTCTTGTTCTTTTCCTTTGTATTTTTTCTTGCTTTCTTTGCGCAGCCCTCCTCATGAATATAAATGCAGTTTTGAAAGGGAGAGATACCTGTGAGCAGGTACAGTATTTGCCTCCTGTGGTGCAGGCCTGCAGCAGTTTAAGGTGATCCCACCTCCGGAGCTATGCAGAAGTGTTCGGTGTTAATCCAGATCAGCTGCGAGGGTGCTCGCCATGGCAGGAGACGGGAGCGCAGGGCTGGGTGTGTGTTGCTGGCCACTGTTGTAGCAACCTGGCTTGGAGCAACCCATGCAGTCAGGCTAACTGCTTGAATCTGGCAGTGTGAACTGCTGTGAGGGTTTCTGCCTTCCTTCTGCCCCCCCAAAACTTACTTTTTCTCTTTGGCATCCTCTTTGGCAGCTAAGTACTGACTATATCAGGTACTTCAGGTTTCCATTTTTAATAAATGCAATACTGATAGCCAAGGTAGTAACTGAGAAACAGAACAAAACCCAAATATTCAGTGCTGCTTTTTTCTCCTTGTTTTTTTTCCACCTCAAGCCAGCTAGCTAGTGTGCATGCTGGCCCTCTGTGCCTCTGGTGAGAGACCTGTGTGTGCCAGACCTCATGTGTGAGGAGCTTTTGCTGTTCCTGCGTTTTACACGGTAGTTGCTCAGAAAGGAGTGCGTGTTTTCCAGGAAGTTTTCCTGCTTCATCAGTTTGAGGAAGCTCTACAAAATGTTTCTGGGCTTTGTCTAAGAGCACTCGTGCTTATGTTTACCGTATCTAGGAGGTGGACTAAGGTTTATTTGAACAACCTGGTTCTGTGTGGTGCTGATGTGGTTTTCTGCTCTGTTCCATTTTCTGTGGGTATTCTTTTGGTACTGATTTCTGAAGCAAGTAAAGCAGTAAGTCGAGAAGTAAATTATGTGAGAGGTAGGCTGGGGAGAGCTGAAGGGTGCTGCATGTGCTGTAGTTCTGTCTGCTGGCCCACGCCGCTGGCGCCGGTCAGCTTGCAATAGTGTGGTGGAGGGATGTCAGCGTAGCAGTTTGACGGGGACGACACGGGGACCACAAGACACAGAACGTGGTGGGCTTGTTCCTCCAGTTCTGGGATGCTCGTGTGGTGCTGGCTGTCCCCCTTCAGTGGTGCCTGGCCGTTGCCGCTTCTAACCGACTGGTCCTGGGGGAATGAAGCTGCTGTGTATTGGTACCTGTGGAAAGGCCGTGTGTTTCTTCACGGAGATCTGCTTTGGATGCTGTGGTGGACAGTGCTGTTGGTGTTCCTGCGGCACGCTACATCTTGGCTAAAAGTGAAGCTTTCACCTTTGCGTGTGCTGTTAGAAAGCAGACTGAGAATCGGGCCCTTCAAAAGGGGCGAGATGGGATCTCACCGGGGTGGGGGAGTGTCAGTGTTGCCTGCTTTCTTCATATTCACACGCACTGCTTCATGCTGGATGACTGTCGGTGTATCTGATGATACTCTTATAATGACACTTAAAGTCACATAGCTGATTAAAGGCTCTGGAAACCCGATGCTGCCCAAATTAGCACTTTTCCCAATCCAGGGATTCCGTAAATCTGGCGCGTGTTGAACTCCACTTTCATGGACTGGCAAGTCCAGTAGTTCCATAAAATTTTGGAGTAGTTGGATACTTTTGCATGATACATATTATGATTTCATGAGTTTAGTGCATGTGAATGGGACAAAATAAGCTTTTTGTTTTCTTTGAGCTGTGCATTTTAAAAAAATCATACTCATTTAGATGTTCAATTGTGGCAAATTGTGGTATTTTAATGTCAAAGACTGTCACCCTTCATGAAATCATTAACTGCTCTCTCTGATGGCCACTCTCTCTACCTTTCCCTTCGCATCTTTTCTAGTTGTTTTACTCCTGTTTTCCCTTTTTTCCTGTTTCAGCAGCTTCCTCTGTTCTCCATTTTTCTGCAGGTTTCCTCTTGTCCCTTTCCCCATGTTATCAGGTTAATTAGTGCAATAGCTATTTTTGACATCTATCGCCATCAGCAAGTGCTAGCGTTAACACCTGATTCCAGAGAATGGTGTTTGTGTCTCCCTACAGCTTGGTTTACTGCTCTGTTCATTTCGCTTACTATAAAAGGCAATAGGGCACCTGGCAATCTTTGTTTAATCTGCATTCACTATTAATTGCTATGGAAACTACAGAATGTAATCTTAAAAAGAAACTATTGTATGTAAACATCTTAACTGCTGGCAAGAAACTGATGTCCTTCTGCAAATATACCTTTTAGACAGGCTGCTGAGGGTGGCAGGTGTGTAACCACCTATCTGTTGAGTAACTAAGCTGTCGGGTAGGAGCTGCTGTAAAAGCCTGGGTGTAAGGAGAAGGGACTGAACTAAATCCATTTCACAAGTTGAATGAAAAGAAATGGACAAGATTTTTCTGCAAGGTGGCTGTTTTACAGGACAACCAAGCTGTCAAGCAGTGGATTTTCGTATTTATTGAAGGTAGAACTTGGCAATTCTGTCTGCATCTGGTCATCATTTGACTATTTTGTCTCATTATTAATGGTGCACTTGATAACTTATGGCTGTAACCTTGGACAAGGCTTTTTCTTTGAGAAGGATGTCTGGATTTATGCTGTGAGGAAGATGTTACTTGGAAATGCTGCCTAAACACAATACTAGAGTTGAAAATACGATAATCCTTTCAAAGCTGTTTAAGGTGCTCGGGAAACTTGGGTAATAAATTCTGTCAGTGACATTCTTTAGAAGTCCCTGGTGCTTCCTAGGGCTGTGATACTCTGATAAAAGTAGAGCATCTGATTCTTCAACAGAAGAAATTAAAATGACCTGGCTTAATTGATTTTCTATTTATGTACTGGAGACTGCTTTCTGGCTAGGAAGTTTTGCTGTATTCTCTGAAGGGGGTGGCAGGGAAGGAGCATGAGGATTCACTTCCGTTAATTTTAATCTTAAAGCTTACGCTGGCAAAGATCTGTTTGGATACATTTCTAGGGGGTTATTGGTTTTGCCGGTCTTGCAGAAAGGCTGCTCAATTAACTCGTTCCTTTACTAATCTGTCTTGCTGTAATTCTGGATTGGCATTGACACACAAAGTTTCACTGAGTAAAATTTGATTCTTGTATGGAAATGAGTCGTTAGTACTGGTGTGAGATTTATTGCTTAATTTTGCACAGTTATCCAGTATGTTCTGAATGTGTAGAAAGTAGGAAGATAGAGCAGGTTTTCTGCAGATGTATATATTTTATCAAGATAGGATCTTCGTCACCCATGAGTGTGTTAATCTTGTGGTCCTGCTACCTTTTTCTCACTTACCTCTCCCTCTACCTCTTCCAATCTTTTCTGCACAGTTTGCTCACTTCAGACAACGAAAAACAAAAAGCGACGTCGCGCAGTCGCAGAAAAAGACGGCGAAGAGGAAGGGCTCGTCTGTCCACACACATGACGTTCCGAAGGAAGAGTACGCACTAGCGGCCCGAGATGTTGGTGAGGGTGTAGAGAGGAAGGCTGAAGACACCAACCTACTAGAGACAACAACAGAGACAGAGGTAAATCTTAGTATTTCTTGCATTTCGCTTCACTCCGTCTGCGGATAACAAGTATTCCAGGTGATGGTTTTACTTGATTGGGTATTAGCTCGCTGGCACTGTCAACTAGCTGCCATTGAGAAGTAAGGAAAGTGATGTATTTTCACCTGTAATAATTAACTCTCTTACAAAGTGATGTAAATAACCGGGAAAAACCTCCATTACATGGACTGGGAAGCTGGTACTGTCAAGGAGGTGTCTGCTGTTAGCCTGCTAAATTGAGGTCTTTCGCCTTTCACTGCCGTGAATTTCTCTTTGGGCAGGCTTCTGGTTATGTGGCTGTGACTCCATGAAATGGCAAATCCAGACTGGGAGGCGTAGTAGATGAGCAAAACTGTCAGCATCTTATAATGCACAGCATTAGTTTGCTGTTTTTATCGCTTTGCTGGCTCAAATGTGCTTAATGTTTTCTGAAAAAAATGCAGTTTGTTCCAGCATGCTCTTAGTAGCCATTGTGAAGCTAGCATAGACGTTACATTGTCCGACAAACTTGTTTAAAAAGTGACTCTGCTTTAAAAAGTGACTCTGCTTTAAAAAGTGACTCTGCTTTAAAAAGTGAGTCTGCTTGTGCCTGATGTATTTCAGTATATTTGTGCTGATGACCTGCTAGAGGTAGCCCTGTGGTCATGTCAATAAACATAGAAACATAGTTTCTGATATAGCTGGAGATGACCAGACATCTGCTAATAGATATACTGCTCTGCCTAAATTAAGCAGTTCCTTTCTTGCTTCAGCTCACCAGCAAGATTTTTATGTCAGCTGTGTATTAGACAGTCATGTGATGCCTTGCCTCTCTTTCTGTCTTGTGATAAAAATAAGCGAAAACATAGTTCTGAACAATTTTTGGGGGGGGGTGTTTAGGAATTAGTTTCCCAGTGCATTTCAGCACGTGGTCCATGCAAAGATTTGTGAGTTTTGGGGAGGTGGTGCCTTCTGCGTAAAAAAAGTCTCTGAGGCTGTTGCTGTGTGTTGTGAAAACATGTCAATAGCATCAAGCTAGTGTATTTGCAAACCTGAAGTAACGGAGGCTATAATTTGCATGTGTTATCCTGCTTTCTGTTGTGTGGTTATCCCTAGTGCTTTCGGGATATCCGGAACGTCACGCTAGCCTTGCAAAGGCTTCTGTGAAGCCGCATGCCAAGCTGCATGCACCAAGAAAAAAGCGTGCCGTATTTTGTCACTCAGCTGTAGCATTGTCAGCAGCATCCTTATTACATTTGTGTGAACTTAAATTAGAAAACAAGCAAAAACCACTTAAGGCTTCTAAACAGCTTCTGTCAAAATTGCTGGTTTGTGAAGCAAGTGGGATTGCTCTCTAGGTTACGTGGAGAGGGCAGCAGCAGTCGTTGAAAACTACTTCCTGCAGATTCAAAATACAGGGAGGGTTATGGGCTGCCTTTTCTAAATAGAGCTACAGTCAGCTTTGTCTCGTTGGTGAATTTAGTGAGAGGGAAATGTCTTTCAAGATATCAAGCTACATTAAGTATGTGTGTCAGAAAATAGAACTGCTTTAATAATCAGTCAGTAATATTTAGTAGTGGATTTAAGAGTGTTCAACTGTATTTGCAAGCCACAAAAGCAGAATATAAAACATTGAGTCTCAATGGTGAGAATTAGCCCTAAATTTGAGTAGACATTCATAACACTTTTAATTTTTTTTTTTTGCATCTATTTCACGCATTTGACCATGGATGACCAGCAGAGTTTAGCATTAAAGTCAGTCTCTCTCTCTCTCTGGTATGTTGTCTCACAGTGCGGACATTTCTGGCTCGTGTGCTTAAGGTGTTCCCAGAATAATTCAGCTTTTCATTATGTATCTTTAAAATGGCCATGATTTAGTGTTTGTTTTATTTGTTTACTTACCAGGGGAGTGCTGACTTGTCCAGCTGGGATGTACTGAATGATCATGGGGCTGAAGTAAGTGTGAAAGAATGTATCTTTAGTAAAAGATGTTGATATATATGTGAGAGTATGATAATTGGTTACGAAATTGATTAGTTATTGAGCACTGTGATAAGAGTGATGTGACTTCACTATTTTACAGTCTAAACAAGGTACTTGCCTGTACGTACATGTACTAGCTGTGACATTGGTTGCTAAGAGAATTGGTTTTAGTGAAATCATGGACCTTGTCCAGAAAAATTTGAATGATGTTTTTAATTAAAAAGTAGTTTCACTCTTTAATTGTTTCATATAATTAAAACCAAAAAATATTCAAAATACAATACAAGATACTGTCTCCTCTGTGACAGTAGTAACAGTATTACTCCTAAGAAACTACAGGATTGACTGGAGCGGCTTCTCTCTTTGTACGTGTTTTCTTGCTTTGCTGTTAAAGGCCATGGAAACTCGGAGTATGTTGAATGTTTATTTGCAATAGCTGCTTACACTTCAAAGTAATGTTAAGTCAAGAACTCTACAGTATTATTTTTTCCTGTGGATGGACTGTTCTCTGGTCAGCACAGAAGTACGTAAAAACTTTGTTTAGTTTTAGTAGTATTCCCCACCTGCCCACTTGTAAGTTGGAATGTGTTTTAAATCCCAACACGTGTCAAAATGGCGCTTTGCCACAATGTGGTGCTGTAGAATCACAAGGCTCTTCTCTCTCATTTAGTTTTGTGCCGTGAAGTAAGTAAGTATGAGAAAGTATAAGCTATGAAATTTTTATCTGAAATTTTTAAGAATTAAGGACTGTTTATGTAATGTTTCTATTAAATACAAAGTCCCAATGTTGAATTACTTTTAAACTAGAGTTTTCCCATAACTTAAGCTTGAATTTGTATTCAGAGTAATCACAAGACAGAAATGGTGTATTGTTTTGGTGAATAAATACCTTTTTGTTTCTTTTATGAAGACAGTTGTGGTAAATTCTGCTGCAGAATACAGTGAGCTTGATGCTAAGATGTGTCAGGCGAGAATAGCTGAGTTGGAGGAGAGACTTGTGGAGAAACAGGACGCAGTGGAAAGACTCACTGCGCAGATGGACGAGCTGCAGGAACAACTCGCCCAGCACAGTGACTCTGTGCAACTGCAGGTATGTTTCATAGAACTGGATAATGGAGATAATATGACTTTATTTTTAATCCTAAAAATACTTAGGAGGCAAAACTCAAAATGAATATTGGTTTGTACTGAAAAGTATTTTGCCTGGTTAAACATGCACTGAGGTTTTCCATTCACCAGTGTCCAGGGCTTCATATGGATTGAATCAAGTGAGAGCAAATCAAATCTGAAACGTTTCTGTTTTTAGAGAGTTTTTATGAAGTGCGTAGTTAAATTCTTCTGCTGCGAAATGGTTTTTATGGGTAAATTTTCTTTACTATATTGAGGAGTGGGCCTTTATAGAAAAAACCCGTAAGAACCGCTAAGGTAAGTATAGTAATCATACATTGAGGTAGGGGCTCAATGTGAAAACATGGGACTTGCATTAAAATCAGTATTTATAAAAATATATATATTATGTTTGAGGTCGTACTGAAAAATGGGGCAAACCCCCCCCCCCAACCGAAAAGGAATTTTTTACTGAAATGTCAGTGTTTCTGTGGATATGCCTGGAAACCACTTTGTGGACGCAGCGCGGTTGCTTTTCAAATGTTCACGCGGGACAGCAGACACTACTACCACCCCCCAACCCCGATGACTTTTTCCCCCGGAGATCATTCACACTTTTTGAATGTTTGTAAATACTCATGGCTTTTTGGTTTTGGGGTGTGTGTTTTTTGTATGGGAAAACGATTAAGTAGGATAAGTTAAACTTTATTAGACTGACATGTACTCTCCCCTCTCCTAAAGTGTTAAAAAAAAGATATTTTGAATTCCCTTTCTCTAGCATGTCTATGTAAAGGTAAATTATTGGTTGCTTCTGAAGAACAGTTACTTCCCCCTTTACATGTTGATTTTTTGCTTTTAGGACTGGGAAACAAAGGCATTTCCTGTTGGTGAGAAATTAGTCACACGAAGCTTTTTGTTTTATATAAAACAGGATTAATGTATCCCATCTCATTAGCTTTCTCTCACATGGCTGAAAAGAAGAGCTGACAGATAGGAAACAAGGGTGTACTAAAAATTCATTATATTCTGTAGAAAGCTTCATTGCTTTTATATCAATAAAAGCTACAAAATTTTTAGGTAAAAATATCTGTTTCATTACTGGTGTCATAATTTGTTTAAAAAAGTCACTTTTGATTAGGTTTGTAGTCTCTTTGAGATCAATGTAAGATTCCTCCTTCATCGCGCCTGCCATCATGTTTGAACACAAATATTTCTGGTCCTTTGGTGCAAGTTTCTTAAAACTTAAGTGTAACTATAGACTCCAACAGCTTTGCTTTAAGAAAGGTTACTGGGTTCCTAATATGTTAAGAATACTTTGATTTTTTTAAAAGTGCACGTCTTGTGATCCATGTAGGAAACCACTGTTCAAGAGCAAAATGAAGTCATCGGGAAACTAACGAGCTGCCTTCAACAGACGAAGAAGGATCGGGATGACCTACAGGAAGAGGCTTCGCGTGTAGCTGGTCAGATCCATGGTTTACAGCTGCAGTTGCATCAGGTGTGCCTCTCCTCCCATTTTCGTTTCCTTATGAGGAGAATAAGAGCAGGTTTGCAGTATGAGTGTAAAACCGTATTGAGCTTGTCACAGAGCTCTTCATAGTTCAGTGTGCAATGCAGCAGTGAAAACAATTTCAGGGCGAGGCAGAGTTTTCTCCAGATGATAGGGAGAAGTCCTGGAGACATCCTTATATTTTTCTGCTTACTTGTGTGTGTAGTGTTTGGGAGGTTGTTACACTTCTTTGTCCGTCAGTTTAGCCCTTGTTGGGGAATTCTACACCATATTGTTGATGGTTTGGGATCCATACACAACAATCACCATAATGATACGGGCTTACTTGGGCTCAGTTTTCCTTGCCTTTGCCAAAGCAAGCTCCGAGTATACGCATGGGCAGCTACAACAGCTAAGCTGTTATGCAGTAATTTGCTATGTGGAGGTAATGTGACTTGGCTCAAAGAAGGAGATTTAAAATAACCTGAAGACAGTTGATGCAGCCCCTATGATACGTAGGAACCTGCTTCAGTGCAACAAGTTGATCATGGATCTAACCCCTGGATAATGAGATTCACTGCAGCCTTTCATCTACTTCAAAAGTTTTTTTTTAAATACTTTATTCTTATTTGGTGATGCTCAGTGTTTTAGTGGCTGTTCGCTCTGAACACCTGTATATTTGTTGTCTCAGGAGCCTTGTAGTAAATGCTAAAGAGTAATATTTATGCTTACTTACCATTTCAGGTTTGCAAGATAAGAATTGCACTAGGAGGGATTACATGTCTTAAACGTCTGGGTAGGAAGGGTGTTTAAAAAAAAAAATTAAAAATTAAACCTGGGACTTACTGAAGTCCAGGGATTATGTTGGAGGAGTTGCTTCTGCCCTGGAAAACAGATCCTCTGCTAAATGAAATTCAAACTTTGGGAAAGAACAAAAAAATACTGCTTTCCATGTACAATTCTGACTGCTGTTGACAAAATACAGTGAAAATTACTCTCCAGATGATTGTTAGAATTTGCTCCATAAGCCGTTGAAAGACAACAATAAAGCCTGTAAATAGCACTTCAGGCATATTCCAAACAAGGCTAGTGATATGATGCCAGTTGTTTGTGGAAGCATGTCAACTTTGTTAACAGATGAAAGTGCTAATACTGTCTTAAATATTACCTCCTTGGGTTTTAGCAAAGCCTTTGGAAAAAGGTTTAAAAAATCAATAAATCACATTTTATTTTACCCCTATAGAGGTAAATCTTTTCTTTTAATTTGGAGGGAGGTGGAGAGAGAAAAAGCTTGTAGCACTGAGCTGTAAATCCTTGGGGGAGCAGGCTGGTTTTGTTCATTGTCCTCTTACCTGTATGTCCAGTCCATGGGAAGTCCTGCTTTGTTTCTGGGGCTTCATAGAGAGGGATTATCTAACATTTATATCTTTACAGTAGGTAACAGTATCTAAAACAATGACAAGCATTGTATGACTTTCTAGGGAGATTGTCTTTTACCCTATGTTTTTCATTGAGAATCAATCAGGAGTAAATGAACACTTTGAGTCTTGTGTCTGAGTTATTTTGATACAAACTTTCTTCTGACTGTGAGTACCTTTATCTGTTCAGGTTACTGAGATGCTGAGGAATAAAAGCCCTGGGAAAATTCAAGTGTTAGAAGCCCAGCAGCAGATGGCCTTGTTTCAGAACCGTCTCAGAGAGCAAAATGCGCATTTGGAGATGCTGCGTCAGAAAGCATATGACCTGGAAGTACAGCTTGAGTCTTCTCAAAAGGTAAAAATTGTTGAAAGTGCTTTTAAAATTGAGTTCTAGGCAGTTAGGTGTTTGTTGCGATTGTGCAAGCCAAGGTGGTGCTTTTGGGAGGAAGAACCTGCAATGAACATGTAGTTTGTGCATGATACAATATTGATGCTTTAAGACTGAAACTACACTTTAGTATGGAATTAAACATCTATTCTTCTGAAGGTAATGATATTCAGCTAAGGCAGAACAGCTGCTCGCAATTTAAGATATTTTTGGTTTTTTGTGCGAAGTAAATATTGAGTTCTGGCGCTTTATAATTTACTTCTTTATTGAAATGATTCCATCGGTTTCTGTTGCAGAAGGGTTGGTCTAACTCTGCTAAACTGCTGTATAACACGAAGAAGTGTGCACCAGGAGCAGGTTCACCTGGTGTTAGTCAAATTGAGGCATGTGGGAGCGTAACTGACAGAGGCTTGCAGTGGGGTGAAGGTTGATGGATGGGCTGTGTAAGCGTATGACAGCTCACAGTTTTGTGTGAACTTGAAAAACCTAGACGAGAGTAAAAGTTAACTGTATCTGTAATCATGTCAGTTTCAGATCCAAAATAAAGTTAAAAGCTTGTGTGGGAATGTTTTGATGGAATCATTTCGGAAACAAACTCTCTGAATAAACAAGCTAAGTTAAAGTTAAAAACACATAACAGATATATATTTTTGTTAATAATATGTATTTCAAATTTGGTGATAACTTTGACCTGCTGCAGTGGCATGGTCATTAAAAAAGTCTTTAGGCTTTTTGATTACTAACATGCATTAAAGGAACAGCTTAAAAGGTCCGATTTCCTTTAAGCACATAACCAGCAATACCATAGGTAGAAGCCTTAAACTTTGAAGTGAGTCAGATGAGTTAGAATTTGACATGGCTGTTCTGTTGGCCTGCTCCTGCCAGCAGGAGGTGTTTTCTCTGCTCAAATGGATGTGAAATGGAGAGGTGGCTGTAGCTCTGATTTTTTTTAACTTTATTTTTCTTTTAATAATAAAAATACGCAGAGTTTGAGACGTACACCGTTTTCTTTCTCTCTGGAGTCAGTGACACATCATTTGTTATTGCTTGGACAATTTGGTATTTGTTACCATATTTGAATAGTCTTTCAGTAGTACTTTCTGCTCGCAAGGATGTGCTTAAAAATCCTGTTGCCTAGGCCAATGATACACCTTGCACTTAGTTGTAAATATGTTTTTAATGTATCTTCATAAATAATGAGGCTTAAGGAAGTTAAAACGTGTCATATTTCATATGTAATATTTTATTTTTAAGAATACCAAAGATAAAGAGAATCTGCTTTCCCAAATGGAAGAGGATATGAAAGATACAATGCAACAGCTATACAAAAGCATAGGAGAAAAAGAAGAACATATTAAAAGTCTTCAAGATCTCCTGACAGCGGAAAGGTTTAGCTTGTCTATACTACAACATACACTTTCTCTCCGGGACTCAGAAATAACAGAATTAAAAAATGAAATAGCTTTATCTAAAATGAAAGAACAGCAACATATTGAAGAACTGAAAATCAGTCATGAAAAGGATATTTGCAGACAGTTGGAGAACTTGAGGGCTGAGCTGCAGAATTGCCACAGAAGAGAGATTGCAGAAGCCAAGCAGGTATATGAAGAAGAAATTATTTCAAAATATAAGAATGAACTCGAACAGCTGAAAAAAGAACTCTGTGGTCTGAATTCTGACGAGCACATTCAGAATTTGAATGGCATAATAATTGACTTAAATAATAGTCTTCGTGAGTCTGAAATTAATAAAGAAAATTTGAGAAAGAAACTTGAGATGCAACAGGAAGACTTCAAGAGAGAAAAATCTGAAATTGAGACTAGATACAAGGATTTAATCGATGGCCTAAAGTCTCAACTTTCTGATGCAGAAGAGCAGGTCAAGGAAGTCCAGCGATATAAACAAGAAAAACAGTTCTTGAATGAAGAGATTCAGAAACTGAATTCTTTCATCCAGGAATTAAATGAAAAGCGACTTTATGAGGCTGAAAAAAATATAGATGTAAGGCAAAAGCATGATGAAGAGATTGTTTCCAGTAAAAAGCTAAAAAAATTGAGGGAAAACCAGATTGTACCAGAAGTGTCGCAGTTGCAGAGAGCAGATCTTGAGGAGATGTGGAATAAACCGCACCAGTTCGAAAGCGAAGATGAGCTAGTTCACAAAGAACCAGAGTTCCAGCATGACTTGGGAGTAGGCTCCTCAAGGGATCAATTAGAAGAATTTCAGACTTCAAAGATCACACAGAACAATGAAAATACTGAAGGAGGTAACCTGTCTGAAGAAGGCTTGTCAGGGCTTTTCGGTGCTGATGAAGGCATATTGGCTAAATATCTCATCTCAACGGGGGGACCAGAAGAGTCGTATGTGTCCAGCACTTCTGAAGCTTACGCCATTGAAGAAGGTAGATGCAGTAGGTATGGGTTAGACAGTAGCAGTCTTCTAGAAGCCAGCAGCGATTTTATACCTCCTCTATTAAACTTTAGCCTTGATGAGAAAATGTGTCCTAGGGGTTTGGCTCAAGAGACCTTTGAAGAGAATGAGTTGGGAGCAGAGGCCTTTGCTTCGTTTTTGTCAGATAGCTCCCTGCAGCAAAACAAAATAAAAGACCACAGTGACGTAAAAGATGATGAGACAGCTTGTTTAGTAGAGAGATGTGTGAAGCTAACTGAGCAGCTCCATGAGAAGGAGTCAGCCTTGAAGAAATCTAGTCAGGAGACCCAAGAAGCTGTTGGAAAATGGAAAAAATTAATGGCTGAGCTCTCTCAGGTGCGTGCGGAACTGGATGAGGAGCGTGTAGCACGGATCCATTGTGAAAAAGCGCTTCTTCAAAAAACAGAGAAGGAGAAAGAATTGGAAAACAAAGTCATTCTTCTGGTAAAGCAGAAGGGTGAGGATGGAGGCCAACCTTACTGTGCTGTAGAGCCTCCAACGCAAGTGTCAAAACCCTCTACCTGGCAAGAAATGGTAAAAGACCTCCAGGAGGAAAGAGAAATGTTGATGGTGCAGCTGCGAACTCAGGAGCAGTTAGTGAAAGATGTTCAAGAGCAGAAAACAGCTTCTGATTCTGTAACAAGTGAAGTACAGTCACTTTTTGGACGTCAGTTGGCTGCTTTGCAAAGTCAAAGGGATGAAATGCAAAGCCAGCTTGATGCTCAGAAGGCTGAAAACCAGACAGTAGCAGAGCTGCTTGGTCAGAAAACAATATCTGAGGAGACATTGCTAAAAGAACAGGAGTTGCTCAAAGCTGAGGTCAATAATAAAGAAGAAAATTTAGCACTCTTATTGAAGGAAAAAACGGCCTTAGGAGAAAGATTATCTAACGTGGAGGAGGATCTAATAAAAGCAGAAAAAGCGCTAGCAGAGAACGCTAGCATCATTGAGGACCTTGAGAAGAACATACATGAACTTAATGCTGAAGTGAAAAACCTCAAAGAAACACAGGAATGTGAAAGGCTGGGATATGAAGACAGGTTAAACTTCAGCAACCTAGAAATTCATAAACTTAATGCTGAAATAAAGGCAAAAAGTACAGAATACAGGGAGGAAAAAACCCAGCTGACTGAAGAAATTGCCAATTTGAAGAAAGTTCATTTGGAACTTGAGAATCGCTTGCAGGAGTCCTTCCAGTCTGCACAAGCTGCTCAGGAGGCACAGTCCAAGATGGTGAGACACTACAAGGAGGAAATCGATAAAATGGAGACTCAGCGCCTTGCCGAATTAACTAAAGTGAGTTTGACACACAAGAAGGAGGTAGGAACCCTGATAATGGCATGGGCCTTGGGATTTCAGGATGCTTATGGTAATCATTGCAAACGTTTGTATGCCTGTTTTCAGATAGAAGAATTAAATGCTGAAATAAAAGATAAAGTGGAAAACCAGCGGAAGTTGGAAGAAGAAAGAAAGGAACAGATTGCTGTAATAAAAAAGGTGAATGCTGTAAAAGGGTTTATTTCAGAAAATTATACGAATTTTGTGTTGTTTGTCATTAAAGCAGTATAAAAGTTTTGGAGATGCAAAAATCTATTCATTGTTTTTTTTGTGATGTCTTTGATGTTGCATCAGGAGGAGGGGAGAATTTTGGCTAAGTAATTTATCAGGGGTCTAATAAACCATATTTTGAAGACTGCTCTTTATCCGAGTATTCTCTGCAGGTACATGAACGAGAGCATGATCGTGAAGTCTCTGAACTGATTGCTAAACATGAGGAGGAAATGGAGAAGCTTCGTGCTGAACTAAATAAAGAACAGCAGCACCTCTTGGATGAACTTCAGCAGCAAATGGCAGCCACACACAAAGCAGAGATTGAGCAAGCTCAGCTCCAATCACAGGTAAAATAAAGAAACGGTAATTACTGTAGCGGTTACCTGGCTGTTGCAAAGAGAAGGCTCCTTGATTTTTGTGCATCCTATGTGTGCTCTTTTATGTAGTGCTGCACTTGAAGAATTAGGAGTGTTCCGTTGGTGGGTAGTAGTAGATATTTTCTATAGGAGTTCTCCAGCATCCTCGTTTTTGAACATTAGTTCTGAAGAAAACTGGATGCTTAAATTGATGGGTTTAAAAAAACCAACAAACCTTTGTCTTTTGCATCTTAATAAGCTTAACAAAAATCAATAAAATAAATTAATTTTATAAAACATACTAAACCCCACCCACTTTCTAATTTTCCCACTAGTGTAATTAGGAATGCTTTAGTGCTAAACTGAAGTGTGTAAACCTGACTTTTTCCTCTAAATATTTACTGGGTTTTTGAACACTTCCACTAAATACAAAGTGGAGATGGAAAGAATACATCTAGCGTTAGGTCTAATTACAAGATGTTGGGTGTACTGTTAAGTTTATTTATGAATTGAAAAGTTCTGCTGGTCTGTTTCAGCTGACATCTCTAATTGTTGGATACTCCTCACTTTTTTAATGAGCCATTATGAATTTTGTTTCCACTTTTCCCAATTCAAAATTCAGAATTTTGCTTTTTAAGAAATTGTGACCAAGAGCAGATATGAGGAATTTCTATAACAGGTAGTTATATGAGCTTGTGTTCTGCTCTGATGACATTGTGAGGGCAGATGCAAGGTATTTGGTAGGAGATGGAGTTAAGAGACAGGCAAGGAAAGCCTCTTACTTCAGACTGAAAATGTTACACAAATCTCATTGTAACAAAAGTCTGCTTATTTTCGGGGTTCTGTCCCTGCCATGAAGAAACACTCTCCAAGTACAGAAAGGCAAAACTTAGATGTGTTTAACATTGAAAGCAATTGAAACTGAAACCGGGCATGAAAAAATTGAACACATTTCATGAAAGGGAAGGGAAAACCCCTTTTTCTTCTCCGTTACAGACACTGCACAGCCTTGAATTGGAAGCTTTACGCCTAAGCTTAAATAATATGCACACTTCCCAGCTTGAGCTTGTGCAGTCTAACTTGAGAAAAGAAAAGGAAACTGCCCTTGTGGAACTACGGGAGATGCTCAATGATAAGCGTGCCCAAGAGTTAGCCATTCTGCAAAGCCGCCATCAGCTGGAGTGGGAGAAGATTAAAGAACAGCGTCTGAAGGAAAAAGAAGACCTTGAATCAAAATATCAGCAAGAACTAGGTACTAAAAATTGAGAACAATAGATCATAAATTGAAACCCCGTCAGTACTTTTTTTCCTCCACACGTTCTTGTCCGGGTGTAGAGCTGGCCTTTTGCGTGACGGCTGGTGTTGCCTTGAATAGGGACAGCAGCTAGACTGGCATGCGCAAGAGAGCGTGTCTTGCATGCAAAAATGAAGTTGTCCAGACCTAAGTTTCATTTTTCTTCAGCTATATGGGTATATTGCTGCTACGTCTGTAAAATGGTGCTATACGGAATTAGCTGCTTTCAGGAAGCATTAGACAGAGCTATCGTAAAGAATTTAATGGGTGCTCTTGCCCCTTATGCTTCTGAAGGGTTTTTGTTGCCCTAAGTCAGCACTGACTCCTGTTGTGTTTCTGACGATACGGAAATGCTTCCTGGCTTGCCTCCTCAGTTGATTCGAAAGGAGGATGAGGGAGTTGGAAAGGAACCAAAAGGCTCAGTTAGAACCTGTAGCTGGGTGTCCTTTGAGATGTGTTTGATAGAAGGTTGTATTTTGACATCAGCAAGAGGAAAGCTGCACTTGGTAGTGCTGAAGGCCTGCTGGTGGTGCGCTTGGCATTGTTTGGGATACTTGCCTCTTCCCAGATCAGGGGGCCATTTCTGGCCTGTATGGCAGAGCTGGAGGAATTTCTGGAGAAAGGTGAGGCCTGCAGCAGTTCACTGAGGAAGTTTAGGAATCATTCCTTTAGTTGTCATTCCCTGAGAGGAAGAGAATGTTTTAGGATTGTGTCTTTTTGACCTGAGAGTAGAAGACCATTTGTTACCACCAGTAATACAGTGAACTGATGGCATGGTGGGATTTGGGAGCAGGAGGAGGTCTGGATGCAGTTCTTAAGATCGATGCTGTTTATGGGCGTTTTTGCAGTGTAATTTAATATGAAAGTAACCACTTACGAGTGCTCAAATGTAGGGGCTGACAAAGAGAATCTGGAATCAGAGCGTCATAGAATCATATAAGGTCCCTTCCAACAAAAACCATTCTAGATCACCTAGTTCCAACCCCCCTGCCATGGGCAGGGACACCTTATAGCAGAGGTCTTCAGGAGACCTGCTGAGGGGCTGTGGATACTGTTACCTGAGAGACTAGAGAAGAGGTATTTCCCTTCAGGGAGGTGATGACTGGGCATGACCCAACTCAAGGGAGTGCTGGGACACTGTGGTGTAGCTTAGGTGATCTTCCTTCCTTTTCTGGACCTTTAGCTGGTTAGCTGGCACCATCTTAGCCTCTGAGTTCTCATTTCCCACTGAGAGACTTGAAATAAGGTTGTGAGCTAAGGCAATGGTACTTTGAAGCTGTGAAGAGGGGACTGATAGGCCTTTACAGGGTTCTTGGAGATCAAGAATGGTGCTGAACAAGACGTTGTAGTGAATCTGGGGAGGAGCTGGCAAGGAAGAAGCTGTTGGTGTCTGTGGTAATTGAGCAGATAATAGCATCTGTCTTGCAGTTGGTTTCCTAGGCATTTTTAGAAATTTGAAGGGAGCTATAAGTGCTAGATGCTTATTTTCTAAGGTGAAAGTGAATTACCAGGCTATGGTGTAACAACAGCTTTGGATACAATGCAGTACCTGATGCTGCTGCATGCCTACCTATTCAAGCCCTGAGTCTGATGCTGAAAATGGAGATCTCATCTATGTTTCTACTTGTCATTTAACCATAACGTTTTATGTAAATTTATTAATAAGCAGTATTTTATTTCACAGTTGATCAGAGAAAGAAAATAGAATTGGAAATAGAAGAGATGCATATCCAGGCATTAGAGGTAAAAATTCTGTTCTTCATACAAGAAAAAAGTAAAACTCCTTTCAGTAAACTAGAGCTGGTAGAAGTCCCTTGTTGACTACACATTTATTGTAGAGGACAAATAAATGGAGGAGTCAAAAAATAAAGTGCTAACTTAGTGAATGTGTTTGCTTTAATAATGCATGTTTTGCTCTTAGGCTCTCAAAAGAAACTGGGAAATGGAATCTGATATGCGTTTAAAAAACACGTGTGAAGAGCTGTCTGAAAAACATCAGACTGAAATGGTGGAACTTCAGAAAACTCTGGAAATGGAACTAGAAAAAGCCAAAGCAGAGCTGGGGCTTCTTGCTCTTGAAAATGAACAGTCTAAAAGTAAGTGCCATGGTCTGGTCATAGGTGTGTTTATTGAACAATAGCAAAGCTAACTAGGTGTGTTGAGAACCTGTATAAAAAGCAAATACAAGATATATCCGTGTACTCTTACTGAAAAACTGGGTTGGAGGCATGAGACTGCCTAGAAAACAAGACTTGAGTGAAAAATTGTTTAAAGCCTAATTAGTTGTGTTGCGTTTTGACTTGCACAGAATATGAGATGGACTAGGTTTTCCTTCATGTATATTGAAGGGAGGTGCTGTTTTGCTTCCAGCTGAAAACAGGCTTTGGCAGTCCCTTAAGCAAAATTCCAGTTAATATCAGTAGAAGCTGCTTCTAACAAAATAAAATGGGGTTGGATTGTGAATAGTTAAAGCTTGGTGGAACAGTAGGAAATAGTGTTCTGGAAGTATTCTGTTTTTGAGACTACTGTAATTGGAGCTTTCATTAACTTGAAAAATGAAATCTGGATGAGTACCTAGTGGGTACATCAGTTTATGTCTTTTGCTGAGGTGCAGATAAGAGGACTTGGAAGAGATTGTGTAGGTCTCAAAAACCTGACACGGTTTTAAAGATGGTGGTTGACTAGCACAATAGTGTTGAATTTGCTGTAAGTGGTGGCATGAAAAGGAGCCGTGACGTGGCGTGCTGTGAAAAGAGCTAGCTGGTCAGGCTGCCTAGCCTCTGAGGCACCGTGCAGGTGAGAGACGTGAGAAATAATGCAGTCTTCAGAAAAATGGAAATGCAATGTTAAAGGTACTGGATGATGCTGGCTGGCAGTCAAAGAGAGCAGGTTTGAGAAGTGAATCATAGAATCGTTAAGGTTGGAAAAGATCTCCAAGATCAGCAAGTCCAACTGTCACCTCAACACTGCCATGTCTGCTCAGCCATGTCCTGAAGTGCCACATCTACATGTTTTTGAACACCTCCAGGGACACTGACTCCACCACTTCCTTGGGTAGCCTGTTCCAATGCTTCACAACTCTTTCAGTGAGGAAATTTTTCCTAATATCCAATCTAAACCTCCCTTGACATGAGGCCACGGAGTGAAGAGCAGCCTTTTCAATCTGGCAAGGGCCGGATGCTTTCACAGTGTTTGGCTCGCCTTTGGCTGCCATGAGCATGTGTTTGTAGCAATGGCTTGTTCTTCCCAGCCAGCACTGGCCTTACTAGATCTCCCCGAACCTGTATCGCTAAGGTCCATTCTGTGAGGATAACGTGCCCCTCTTGCAGCTCACTGTGGCTGAAGTGCAGTCACTTGATTGCAGATTCTTCCTGGGCAGGTCACGACTTGTTGACCACATGAGGTAGTAGCAAGTCTGCAGGGTTCAGAGAGTGCTGGGCGCCAAGGCAGAGTGTACTTGGCATGAGCTTTCCCAGTCCTGCCTGTTTCTCTCTTCTACTGCATGCTACTGAGTGCGGTTGTAGGAGAAATTCTGTGTTTGTAGGCCATGAAGAAATACTTGATTCCTTGCTACAAGGGTATGTGCTTCTAGTTCAGGACGCTTGTTCATGTATGCAGAGAGCAAATGCTTATCCCTCTGGCACTGCTGTTGTTTACCTCTTGGCTAACAGTGTGGGCTGTGGAGAACTAGGAAGCTCTGCGTGGAAACGTTTGACTTTCAAATACTTTACTATTCAGGTATTTTTGTGATTCCCTGTAAGCTAGCAATCTAGTCTAGAGACATACATTTGTATTGTAGTTGTACAGGTTATTCAATAACCAGGATGGTGGTATAACAGAAGTCATTTTTAATTTTAGTGAAATGTGTAGAATTGGAGAAGCAACATCAATTAGCCATTACAAAATTACAAGACGAGCTGCAGGCTGAACATAACAAACTTCTAGAAGATATGAAGGTGAAAAGCCAAGAAAACGAACAGAACCTTCAGAAAGAGGTAAATAAGATATCTTTACTCTTTTCTAGTGATTCATTTCTCTCTACGTAACAAAACGAGACCATATACATATCATTTGGGTGACTTGTTTATGTTTAGGGATTTTATTGAAAAACTAAAATGCATGTCATGAAGTAGGTAAATACTCTGGGATTTCCTGTAGTGCTTCAGAATCTTCTGAATGCAATTGCCTTTGTGCCATTTGGTGCTGTTTCTTCCTCTGTGTTTATATACTGAATTTTTGGTCTCTTGTTTTTTGTTTTTATCTAGCTAATACTTTATTTTTGCCAGTGATAAATATGGTATCAGGAACAAATTCCCCTCTCTTAGAGGAGTGGTTCTAACAGTTAAGCACTACTCAGTGTTTCTGTTGCCTGGGTCAGCAGCTGAGAGCCTGGCTGTCACTAAGTGTTACCGCCTATTTCGGACAGAGCTGTCTGTTGCATATAAAATAAGCAATTAGAACAAAATTGTTTAAAAATTTGCGCTTTTTTTTTTTTTTTAACATGCCTTCATAGCTGGAGAAACTTCGTGTCATGCATGAAGAACTCGAGGCTCGGTCACAAGAAGAAATCAGGCAGCTTTGGTCTCAGCTCGATAGTACCCGAGCAAATCGGCAAGAGCTATGTGGTATGTTCAAAACTGACGCATTTTGGTTTTTGCATCTTCTTCATATACAATTATGCGTTATTGACACGAAATACTTTTAACTGTGTACCAGAAACACGCAGGTAGGTCACGGGAGTGTCAGTGGGTTGTACCCTAGAGATCTGTTTCTGAAGTGCGAGGTGAATCAGATGAGTAGCTGGCTCTGCAATGCCAAAAAGCACGGTATGGCTGTGGGGAAAAGCTTGCCTCAGCTGTTTTCCTTTGCCTTCCCATTCCATTCTGCACCTCATAAAAGTCTTTAATGGAAAACAAACATTTTTCATTGTAATGTCAAATTAAGTATAATGTATTTAAGAATTGGAGAAAATGCTGGTCAATGCAGTAACATGCTCCGATTTGTGCTCAATATGGAAGTGTGTATGAATTCAATTGAGAAAACTGTTAATTGTAGGAAGGCAGTAAAGCTCACTGCTTAGTTTGTGACTTTGAGTAGTTTATTGTGGCTATTTTCATTTATTTGGCGATAATTAAGAGATCAGACTGCTTAAAAAAAAAAAAGGCAGAAATGTTTTAAAACTGTAATTAGGTTAGATCTTGAGGTAGAAATGGCTTTTTTTCCCCTTGCAGGTTTGAGGTGAGTTAAAGAAAATGCTTTTTCATTGACACTCAAAATGGAAATTCACCATCTTCTGAAAGGCTTTTATTTCTTAAGTACAGAAAAGCCCCGGGTTAAAGACCTCTCCATTTAAAAAATAAAATAACAACATTCGGGTGATACTTCTGAAATCAGAATGAATGATAATGTTGTTTTCCTATAAGGCTAAAAATGACCTCCTTTTTCCATAGCGGTGCTTCTGTTTAAAACATAAACAATTTCCCTAAACCCTAAAATCAAAATAAAAGGAAAACATTGTGCATAGCAATTAACCCAAACAGTTTGGGGGTTTTTGTTGTTGTGTTTTTTTGTTGGTGTTTTTTTTTTTAATTAATATTATGTCTGTCTGCATTAAACTTATGAAAAAGTTTTAGAGCTTGAGGAAAAAATAATGACTAGCTGGAATCTCACATTGTATGCTTTATATATCTTGGGATATCTGTTTCAAGATTTAGATGTATTAAAACAGTCAACTTTACAGTCTAGTGATTGAAGATGACACACTTTTTTGGTTGAAATGAAGCAGAACATGTCTTGGATGTGTATGTGTGTACAAACAGATGTGTAATACATGAAAGAAGAAATTTTGGGAAAAATAAAAAAGCTAGAGACCATGGTTAACCTTGACTATGTGTGCTCACCTTGTATTGAGACTGTAACATTAGGTGGTGGGTTTTTTTGGCTACCCCAGCAGCAGTACCATGTTACATTTGCCTTTTGTTTTAAATACAATTTCATGTTTTCTAAATAATATTTCAAAAGCTATTTACAGTTACATAATAGGGTTTTGTGAGGGTAGGTTTTTTGTTAGGCTTTTTCGGTCATAAATTGAATAAATAATTTCTCTACTTAGACTTTACCTTGACTTTTTCAGATCTCTTTTTTGGTATTACAGAATTATAGCAGATAGCACTTTATAGAATTTGGTGGATTTCTTATATCTCCTCTCTGTAGCACTAATGTTTATTAACCTTTCAAATGTCTTTCCATGTTTCTAATCACTCCCATTCCCATTCTTTGGACTTTTTCTGTTTCTTCTTCATCTTGCTTGAGATGGTGAGACCAGAAAGCAAGCCCATGGTCCAGGTGAGGATATCTCTTGGTGTGTGAGCTCTTAAAGGTGTTTTGTTTTATGCTGCTTTTTTTCACCCAAGTGACTGTTTGACAATGCATTTGTGTTGGTTTGAGGACTTGCGGTGGTGGATTCAAACCATAGCAGCTGTATGATGGGATCGCTGGTCTGATGTAAGAGTTCAAAACTGTTAAATGCTTTTCTGGGTTAATTTTGTGCTGGCAGACTTTGCTGGTTAGGCAAAACATACCCATACCATATTGGGCTTCACTTGTCTGTCCCGTTGGTGGTGTTACTGGTCCCTGCTTGTCACTTGATTCCTCTGGTCCCCATGCAACTGCAGGCTTCAGCCATGTACTTAATTCTTTTATTCTTTCCGTTTGCATGTTTGTTGTGAGAATTTTTTAGATGAAGTGGGCATTTTCTGGGTTGCTGCACAAAAATACGCTGTGACAGTCAGCCATGTTGCTTGCTGTGTGGCATCCTCTGTTTCCATGAATGTTTCTGAATTTTCTCTTCTTGTGTAACATTAGCATCTGCTTTTCTCTGGGTTCTTTCTTCTGGAAATACAGTTCCATCTTCAGCTGACCCTATGGGGCTTCAGCTAACTGAAGTCGCCTGGGAATCTAAGACATCTGGGAAACTTTTTTAATTCCCTCTCATGGTTTTTGTCCTTTTTTTCCCCCTACCTTTTCCCTTCCTGATACATTACTGCTTTTTTAATACAAAACGTGGGGAAGAAAGCTCTCAGAGTTCATGAATGCACCGCAGTGCTGGCCATTGCGCTCACTCCCTGAAAGGAGGATGGCTTGCTGAACCAGCCTTGAGCACTATTTTCTGCTGCATTCTTTTTTTTTGTTGTTGTTGGATGGTTATTTTTAATTCACTGAATTCAGCCTCTGCTACAACAAAGCAAGCAGGTGTGAGGATTAAGTGATGTTGCAGGACTCTGCATGTCATTGGCCTGGACCTGAAGCACAAGGACACGAGGAGGGCTAGCAGTCTGCTCATAGTTTTGATTCTTGTCGTGAGGATGGTTTCTCTGAATGCAGTGTAAATGGAGAACATGGTTTTAGTGTCTTCCGAGGAAGGAATGTTTCATCTTTCAGAAGTTCATTTTTTTATGTAGCTTGTGGGATAACATTTTACTGCTATCTCAGTGACTGAAATATGGCTGAATGACTCACAGAATGACTTAGCCAAAAGATACGTGCTTCTGAGTACTTGTGTTTGGTTTTGCCTCTGTTCCAGAGCTGAAAGAGCAGCTCCTGGCTCGTGCATCACGGGTGGAAGAAATAGAGCGTTTGAAAGAAGAATTTGAACAGCAGCGGCAGCAAAGAAAAAGTGAGCATGAAACTGAACTGGAACAACTGAGACTTTATTTTGAGAAGAAGTTAAGAGTCGCTGAAGAAAACTACAGAGAAGAATTGACTTTGCTGCATCAGAGACTGCAAGAACTGAAGGAATATTCACTGTCAGAGTTGGAAGTGAGTCAAGATCAAGCAGGGGACATCAGGTGATCTATTCCTTTTCCTTTCATCTCAAGCTATGACAGCATGCATCCATTTTAATTTTTTTAATGTAAAAGATTGTTAGCATCTAAATATATTGGGATTGGGCATTAGGTGATCTGTAGTTAGAAACACAGTGATGGAAGTCCCGAGTGTGCAGTCCTGAGCAGTGCTTATGGTTGCTCTGTGCCCATGTTCAGTACTACGTTGTAAGTCAGCAAGTTCATTTAACTTAATTTGTGACACATGTTACAATCTGAAACTTTAAAACCCTTTTCTCAGTTCTTCTGTTGCAGTTTTTGAAGACACTGCTGAAAAAGAGAGGAGGGATATGCTTCGTCAGCTAAATCAGCAGCTGGAACAACATCAGGTAAGATGTTTGATATATTGAAGTTCTACTATTCATGATGTGACCTGTATGAAAACTGATGTCTGATTCCCAGATCTTAGCAAAAAGTTACTTAATTTGAGACATTTATTAAGGCTTAATTATTTCTGACAAGCATATTGTAAATTACCAACTTTAAGTAGTTCTCAGACTAGCAGAACAGACAAAACACGATATTCTGTGATCTTGCGTCCTCTCCTTGGGTTATCCCGTGCCTAGTAAGGAGCTTATCAAAGCTCTTCCACACAAGTGCAGAATTCATGGTGTTTCTCCTCTCTATAGATTCTGTAGTAATTGTGCCTTTTATAGCTGTCTGTTCTTTAAAAGTGGAGATGTGGATTTGGTCCCTGTTCTGTTTATGCATCTATTTTCATGTACCTTGTGGTACTTTAAGTTCTTGACTTCTTTGCTCGACTTACTTGAAGTTAACTAAGAGTTTCAAAAAGGGATTTTCTTTTTTTGGCTTTATAATTCTATTTTAAAACTATAAAAAGTAGTATTTTTTTTTTTAGTGAGGAAAGGACAAGCAGACAAGACATACTCAAGACGGCATGAGCTCCATTTTATTAGTAAATCACACAAAAACCTTAGTAGTTATAAATGAGAAATGTACACATCATGCCCTTTTTTCTTGCTGCTATTTGTTACCTAGAAGAATATGAAACTGCATTCATAGATCATTACCTCTGGGTTCTGGGGGGGGGGTGTGTCACCTCAATGTTGAGAGTTGATAGTTTCTCTACCCAGATGTGTGTGGGACTTCCCCCTCTATTATATTTTCAAAACAACTCCTGAAGCTCGAATCTGTCGTGTGACATGGTTCCAGAGTGTATCTACTTTTTTGTTTTTTTACTTGAAAGGTTCAAATATACAGATTTTTTTTGAGACTATTTTGTTCTTACTTGCCCTTTTTCCCTATTCAGAGTAGGCCAAGACAACACTTAGGGACATGGTTTAGTGGTGGACCTGGCAGTGTTAGGTTTATGGTTGGACTCCGATGATCTTAAAGGTCTTTTCCAACCAAAATGATTCTATGATTCTGCTTTGAGGGGCTCCGCTGCTCTCATAGCAGATGGAGTGGCAGGAACAAAGCAAAACCAGCAGGGGTTTTGGAAACCATAGATGTATATAGAGATATATATATGTATGTATGTGTCAAGCAGGTGCATTATGGTGCAATTCATGTAGTACTGTCATTGAAAGCGTGGTTTCTTCAAAGCTGAAGATGTCTCTCTAACCCATTTCTTATGTAGGAAGCACTTGCCTGTTTGCAGGTACAACTTAAAGAACAACACAGGCACGAATTAGATTCCCTAAGGTCTTCCCTTGCACTTCAATATAAGGAGGACTTAATGAAAATGAAGATGGATCTGTCAGACAAATATATAACAGAAATAGAGGAAATGAAGAGAAAGCATTGTTTAGAACTTGAGCAGCTCCGTGCCCGACTTTCAGAAGAACATATTAAAGGTAAGATGAGCTGACAAGCTGGGAAGTAAAACGGTAAGCTGCTTATGTGGCTTATATTTTTCTTTAAATATTTAAAGGCTTATCTGAAGAAGTTTTCAGTTTGTTATTAGTTTGCTCTAAACTGTAGGGAACACTTAAAACATGTTAATCCCTGGCATCGAACACTTTGCTTTTTGACTTTTATGGGCATGTTGAGTTGCACTTCCAAAGATGCGGTGACCGGAAGTTGATCATTCTGTAGTGAAACCTACTACAACTGTGGAGCAGTTGCTAGGAGGAGTTGATTAGGTTTCCATTCTTGATGCCTAGAAGGGCACTGTCAATTCCTGAATTAATATTTATTTGAAAATTTCTTAGTGTTGTCTGTCAGCTATGTTAAAGGTCTCTTGTATTCTTATGAAATAGGGTCAGTTCTCACTCAGTTCCATAGCGTAGACCCACTTCTGTGTTCCGTGCCTCTTTTGCCTGTGTACCTTTTGTGAGTTTGATAGTTCTCTGCTCATTTAAGATTAATATTTCTTTTTCCTCCTGTGTTTGCCAACTAGTTAGCATACATATTGGGATAAATTTTTTTGAACAAAGAGGGAAATATTTATGGGGAGCAGAATTTGTAAAAGGTATCTTTTTGCTGTAGGGTTCAGGTTAAAGTTCCTCTTATGGCTAAATTTAAGAAGACTTCCTGTGTGATCATGGGATTATGTAATTTCTGACCAGTTGCTGCTTCTCTTGGAATTGTAACTTATAGAAATGTACTGCCTTGTAGTGGTTCAGTATGAAATGCATGTATCACTGAGGTGCAGGTAAGGGATCATGGTAGTTCTTGTATCTGCAGCCTCCTTCTGGGGGCATGGTATGGTACACAGACATTTGAACTCGCCATCCATAACCTACAGTTAGCCATATAACACGCTATAACTGTATTCCACTCTATATTTGTTAAAAGGATCAGTGCAAGTTTTTTTAATTTGCAGTTATATTTTTATCTTCAATTATTTACTTTTAATACTAGGCAGTATATCAAAACTGCTCTAATTAGAATGTTTAGAGGTTTGTCCCATCTGCTTTTTGGGGGTATGCCTTAAGTAAGTAGTATGTGCGAAAGAGGAGATAAAATTTGCATAAATCTGCCATTACATTGTGCAAAAAGCAAGTCAGATCCTGTGCCTGTTGCTGATAGGAGCGAGGCCCCGTCACAGGTTTCATGATCCTTCTCCATAATTTTGTGTGAGATACTGATAAATTTCAAAGGTGGGATAAAGCGGAACAGAGTACAAAATTATCCTGATAAGGGATTCTTGTTGGTTGGTAGTCAGTATGGCTACTGATAAACTGCACAGCTGACAATGTTCAGCTTTATTTCTGTGCGGTAGTAGGACTTGCTAAAAGGAAAATAAATTCCAAAATGTCTTTTTTATTTTTATCTTTTCAGAAATCACCAAACTGCGCCTACAGAGTGCTCAAGATGCAGCACGTCAAGTTGAAATGGAGGTGGCTGAGCGAGTGTCTGTGCTGGAGGAAGAGCACAAAGCTAGGCTCTCTCTTCTCCACTCTGAGAAACAGCGTATTGCAGAGCTTTTGGAAGAAATAAAACATTTGAAGGAAGAGATTACCAAACAAAAAGATTTTTCTGTGCAGAATGAAAAGCATCTGAAAGAGGAAATGGAGAAGGTAACTCATATTACAGTACTGCTTTGTATGGAGTTGAGCAAGCTCAGGTCCGTGGAGAAGGCCAAGGAAGGTAGAAGCAGCACTTATCTTGAAATGTGCCTAGCTTAGTGACAGTAGCTTCAGCTTTAGATGGGCTTGCATGGATACACACAAATATGGGAATACGAGTCTGAAGTTCAGAGCATTTTCGTGTTAAACGCTTAGTTTCTCTGCAGGTGAACTTTTCTTTAAGAGCAGAGATAGTGCGGGAAGGCAGGTGCTTCAGGGGTTGATCCAGTCTGCCTTTTATATTGATGTGGGTCAAGCATACGTAGGCCGCTCCAATGCAGGCACGTACAAGAGGTCCTCATCCTGACCATCTCCCTGCAGCACATCGAAGTGTCCCGGTGCGAAAGTAACACGGTGCGCTTGCGTCCTGTCATGTGGTAACGCAGAATTCAGCAGAAAGCACTGTGGCAGATAGAAGAAATGCCTCTGCTGAATGGGTCCCCTCCAAGAAATTTCTGGGTTTCATAGGACTGTCTTTTGAAGCAAAGAATCAGAAGTAATTTTTCAGACCATTTTTGGGGGAGAAGAAGAGAGAATCGGACAACACATTTCTGCTTTTACTTTGTTTTGATGTAGCTCTTATGCTTTCACCATCAAAGTCTTGGAGTTGAAAGAATCAACCTGGCAGCTTCTCTCTTAGCAGTTAAATCAGCTGTCCCATCTGAGAAGGAACTTAGATTGGATGTTAATTCATTGTCGAATTTGTTCCGATACCTGAACGCTTATGAGAAGTAGATGGATGAAGCTCTCATTTCTCAAGTCCTCCTTTCCTCCCTTTTTAAAGAGAGATAGGTGTGTGTATCCTTTTTCCAGACTTACAAACTGGTGGAGAAGGATAGGGAAAACAGATTGTTTGCAGATTGTTTGTAGACAACGTGGAGACTCACCTGAAGCTTCTAGCAGGGAAGCTTTCAATACTGCTAATTTACTCCTACCACCTGCAGGATCTTGTTTGTGGCACTGCTGGCTGGGTAAGATAAGCATGTACAGAATGCGGTGTTTGAAGTGAGCCTGCACCGCGTGCTGATCCGCTGTTTAGAAATCTAGGTTTTGTCTGTTTTCTGATCTCTCACTCTCAGAAACAGAGTGAACCAGTTTCCTTGATTGCCTCTCTATTTCCAGTGTGCCTCCCAGAACGTTTCATGGATTGTGTTAATCAAAATCTGGGGTGGTTGCTTTGCTTTCCTTAGACTTCATTTAGCTTGTAACGTAAGTGAATGCTGAAATATTTTTTCAGAACAAAACTTCGAAGTGAAAACTAAAGAGTATACTTCATAGTGATGCTCCCATGTGATCTCTTATTAGTTTTTAATTTCCTTTTAAGAGGTGACCCTGTTGTTTCTTTAGTTTACTATTTATTTGATTACCTGTTTACCCCTAGTGTGTTTTTAGAGTCTTTTTTGTCTTTGGTCATTGAGCAATCATTTGATGCTTTGGCTTCTGTTTTTATGCTACATGCTTTTTATGTTGCTTTTATGCCACGTACGAGAACTGTCCTTGTCACAGACTTGGACGCTGCATATAAAGTACTACTGGAGCATAAAAGGAGAGGAGAGGTTTAAAAGAGATTTTTGATTATGCCCAGTATAAATATATAAGGTGTCTCTAGCTTTATAGGTTGAACTCCTGAAGTGGCCCCAAGGGAAAACAACATAGAGTACCACATTAATTCTAGAATGTTGCCTTAATTTGAACTCCTGAAGTGGCCCCAAGGGAAAACAACATAGAGTACCACATTAATTCTAGAATGTTGCCTTAATTTTTTTCTTACCTTCCCTACTTCAATTAATTATTAATAGTGCGTTGAAGTCAAGTACCTATAAACTGACTTTTCAGCCTTACTTTTAATTGGAAGGGTGACTTCACTGGAAGAACTGACTTGCTCCAAGACCTTAAATGCCTGACAACGTTCACTTCATGCACTTCAGTTTGGTTTTGGTATTTTATGCATTTTTTAATAACTGTGTTCACAGGTAAAATATAAAATTGCTGAGGATCACCAGAATAAATTAAGGGAAGCCAGAGAAGAAGTCCAGAAAATAGAGACTATGTACAAAGAAAAAGAGAAGAAATGGAAATGTGAAAGCGAGGACCAGAGAATCCAAGCAGAAGAGAAGTTATCGTTGTTGCGTGTAGAACTGCAAGACAGAGCGGAGTCTGAGAAGCAGAGCTTACAAAAGGAGTTTGAACTTCGTGAAGCTGAAATGAGTCAGCTTCAAGATCAGCAAGCTGCCAGAATTCTAGAATTGGAGAAGCTGGTGAAAGAGCAGCAAAACAACCTGCAGCATCTAGAGGACAGCCTGGCAAGCGCACAGGCTATGCAGAAATCTCAGGAGCAATTTGACAGCGACCTGCAGGCAGCCAAAGCGCTCATGGCAAAAGAAATGGAAAAGGCCACGCTTTGTCTGCAGGAAGAATGTGCACTGAAACTTATGGAAGCACAAAACAAGTCAGTCCCTGAGTATTTGAGCACTTTCACTTACTAATTCAGTCAGTGTTATTGACTTTCCTTAATTTAAAATTAAGGAGTGGTAGTGAGTTAGGTTTGTCACTTGATGGCACCAGCTGAATTTTATATGTAAAGCTTACTCTGCCAAGGAACAGTAATGCTGTCCATTATGGTTTACTATAGAATTTTGCTTCATATAAATGCATTTAGTTTAGTCTACCAAATCAAATGAGGTGTACTCTAGTTCTGCCTGTTACAGTTAAGAACACAACACAGCTAAAAATCACATACTAGGCTTGGAGAAGGCAAGGTGTTACAGGACCTGTAAGTGGAAAAATTCTCGATGGGCCACATATGGTATTCTTCTGTTCTGATTAGACGTAAAGGTTGTAGCTGCTCAATTTTTTCTTCCCTTCCTGCCCCTGCTGTTTTAAGTGTATTAAATGAAATACTCAACTGCATGTTTGTATTTGCATGCATTGCTTCAAATTTATCCCTTCTTTCCTCCCCAAACATACACTCACAGAGGAAGATTAGGGACGTAATTGCAGTAAGAAAACACTGAAAGCAGGAACTTAGCCTTTAAATACCCAATCACTTTTTAATTATTGGTGTCTGTATCCAAAAATAATATAGTTAATGATTACAGGAAATCGCAGCACTTCAGATACTAAATTTTCTGCATCAAGCTTTAAGCAGACCTCACAGAGCTGAGATGAGTTTGGAGGAGCCCCCAGGTATCCCATATACGCTTCCACGGTGGTTTTATGTCTCTGTCTTAACCATGGCTTTTTAGAGATGTGTCTTATGATAGTTTGTTTACTTGCAGACAGCACATTTGAGATGTAGACAATGCATGTCCTAGATGCTCTCATATGGCACTACTTTCTCATAAAGACAGTGAACAATGTTTGTGTGCTGCTCTCTATTAGCGAGTAATTTAATAGGGGTGCCAGTCTACCTGGTGATAACAGATGTTACCAAATGACATTGCATAAACCTTTCATTGGCTATGAAATCATCGTTGTGGCTTGCTTTTTGAATTAGTTCTGTGATTGAAACATAAGGTAAAATTTATGGAGACTGAGTAAGGCCTATTTATTTTTCTTTGATTTTTATTATTTCAATTTAAAAATAAACACAACAGTGCCTTTTTGACAATATTCTGTTAATTTTCTTGGAAATAATACAGGTTTATGGAGGAGCACAAAGCTATGACTCAGAAATTCACAACGGAGCAAGAGATTCTTCTCCAAGAGCTGAGAAAGAAACATGTTGATGAGCTGGAACTCCAAAGTCAGCAGCTACAGGAGAAGCATAAGCAGCAGATTATGACTCTTACAGCTCAGTTTCAGACAAAGCACCAAGCTGAAATCGAGACACTTAAATCTACACTGGAAAGTAAACAGCAGGTTCAGCTTGAAGCTTGTGTTGCTGAACTACAGAGAAAGCATCAGGCACAGATTGATGAGCTCGAGGCTAAACACCTATCAAATCTGGATTCCTTGGAGTCATCCTACCTATCTGAAATTCAGAATATAAGAGATGAACACAGTCAGGCTCTTGAAAAGCTACAGCTGCAGCACACGGAACAGCTCCTTGAAAAGGATAAAATGGATCAAGCCTGCTTGGTTCAGGAGATAGAGATGTTGAAATTAAAGCATGCCGAAGAACTTCAGCTTTCCCAAAATAATTTGAAAATTGAGCTAGCTACTGCTCATGTGGAAAAACTTAAAGCCATTGCTGTTGAAGCAGAAGCAGCTCATAAGGTGAGTCGGAAAGAAAACTTGGCAAAGAAGGTAAAATTTCATGGTACGTTATGTGGGATAACCTTCTCTCTTGTTCTTGGGGGTGTATTTCTAAAAACTCATTTGTGCCAGCACTAACACTTGTGTGTAACTATATTGTGAGCTGAAATGGAAAACTGAGATGAAAATTAAGTCTATCTGTTGCTCCCCCACCCTGAATGCTCAGACTAATGAGTTTTCTATCTCAGTGTGTAGAAAAGGTACAAATGAGGGAAATATTTTTTACAGAATTCAGATTGGAGGGTCTCCATATTGTGGCTCAGAGCTTCTCTGCCCGATAAAGTTACCATGTAATTCATCAGAAGTGATTAGAACAAAGTAGAGGTAATTCTGTAGGTTAAGCTATATCTCTAGCAGTCTAAAGATCCCTCCCTAATGGCACAGCCTCAAGGGGAAGAGTAGAAGAACGGTATCTCTAAAGATTCTGGATAGAATTTTGGGAGCAGGTTGTGGGTGAGCAGGTCTCGTCTTAGAGCCTTTAACAGAAGTCCATAGCGTTACTCTTGATAGGGCCGAGGTTTGAGCTTTTGTAGACTTCAGGTGGGTAAGAAATGATCCCAAGACTTCCAAGTCAGAGATAAGAAGGCTTAGCTCATTGCTAAAACTTCAGAGCCTTCCAGAGAGAAACACACTGTTTTTTCAGACTTGTCTGTCCCCATGCCCAGTTCCCAAACTGATGATTATGTTTTTGGTGTCCCCGCAAAGGCTAAGAGGACGGTCTTGGGGGGAGGAAAGGGATGTATTTTTCTTCTGTCCCATTTTCGCTGACCAATCTTAAATCAACATTTTAATTGTTCTTTAATGTGAAGAACTTCAAAAAGCAAAAGCTGAAGATCGTGCTGATGGGGAGTGCTGTCATAGATAAAGGAAAAAGTAGGGGATTTACAAAACTTTTTACTAGGTAAGAAAAATAAACCCATTTCAATGATACAGACAGTGTGCATAGGTATGTGTGCTCATCATTCATGAGGCAGTATTGTTTGTGTTTATTTAAAAAGGCTTGATATAGTAGGACACATGCTTGACAAATGGGTTACAAAAATATTTGTACTTACTTTTTTCTCCCCTTTTTTAAATTGATGCTTACACAGGATGATCTGAACACAGCTCTTCAAAATCAAAGGAAGTTGCTGGAAGAAGAAAAACGTCTGGCCCTCGATATATTACGTGAGGAAGTATTGCGTATGGAGGAAAAGCATAGAAAAGCACTCCAAGAACTTCAGGATCTTCATGAGGCAGAAATTAAGAAACATAAGGAAGAATACTCCAGGGAGCTGGAAAAAGAACTGGGGAAACAAAAAGCACAGCATGAACATGAGCAAGAGGTCAGAATGTTGCTAGTACCTAAACCCAAAATAATCCATACTTTCTGTTAAAATAAATTCAATTTGATTAAACTTGCGAGTAAGGCTGTATATCTAGATGCTTTTTGGATTCTTTTTTAATAGTGCCAGTAAATAAGAAGAGACAAAGTAAACATTTTCAAGCCTTGCTTTATCTAAAAGGTTTTAAAGGATTCGTATATGTGTATTAGCATGGATTTTTAAAATTTAAATCCATGTTTGTAGTGTTCTCTTTACTGGGATGGACGGAGGAGGGGGGAAATGGGCTGGCTTTCTTCTGAGTTCCTGCTGTATTTAATTCAAAACTTTAAAGCTGCCATTTTGATAGAAAATTAATAGGCAATAAATTAGGTTATTAACCATTTGTGGAAAGTAACTGCTCACTTCAGGCTTTTGTAAGTGAACAACCTTTACTAACCTCTATTTCTTCTTTTCTTAGAGAAATTATAGTAGGTAATACTTTTCCAAACATGTTTTCTCAGTGAGGTTTCGAAATCTTCCCAGTTGCCCTTAAAGCTTTACTATTTCTTCTTGCTGGGAATGTTTATGTGTAAGCTTGATGATGTTTACTTCCATAGGGAAGGCTAGAAATCTGATCGTCTGCACTAAGTTCTCTTTAAACTTTGAAATGGAATGGGATGTTCTCCTTACTCAGTCTTTTATACAATCTGACTTCTGTTGATGCAAGCAGCCACAAACGATCAAGACTTTTCACTTTTCTGCATTATTACATTGGTGTGTTAGGAGAAGTCACAAACAAAATAAGCTTTATCCAGCTATAACCAAATAACATATGTTAAAATGTAGCTTACTTTTGCTTTTTCACTTACTAATCTGAAAATTGGATAGCATGCCAAGTAACCCCCTAGTCACTGCTGTACCTTTTGTATTACATGGTGCACCCCACAAAAACCTCTTGGGTCTGAGGAGATCCCCTGTGTTCTTTTGGGCTGTCAGGCTTTAGAGCTGGTAGTGGTTTCCAGCTGGCTGGAGTGCGTTGCGAACTCTCTTTACTTTTGGATGAATAGCTTGCCTGGGAAGTTAGTTTTGTGGGAAGTTCTCATGATTATTACATTTTTAAGCCCTTCATCCTAGAAACAGGAGTTCTCTCTAGTCTGATGACTAGAGTGACTCTTTTTAGCGAGGATAATAGAAAAAGAAACAAACATAAATGACAAAAAAACCCCCTAAACCTTTCTCTGGTATTGTTGATGCACTTCTTTGTATCTCATAGGATAATTGTACTAAATCTAGCTGTGTAATGTTTAATCCCATTTGAACAAGAGAAATCACATTTCAACCAAGTATGCTCTCCTTGTGTTTCTCTCCCCTTCTTTCTTCCTTATTTCTCTGAATTTCTCTTAGGCAAACGTCTGTTGGAAAGACAATTAGTCTGACCTGATGGTCTCATGAATACAGGAGATACATGGTACCTAATGCCTTGTTGTTTTGTGCCTATTTTTGTAACTTTTCTCTTTAGTCAGCACGATGATAGATAGCAGCTCTGTGTGACCTTGAGGATTGGAGAGAACTATTGTAAAAATACTCATAAGAATTTGGCTGAGCTTGATGCTTTGGTTTGTTTTGTTTTGGTTTGGTTTTATTTTTTCCATAATTATAACACTGGCTAAAATATTTTGTATTACTTGTCTGCAGATGTACGCTTCTGCATCGGCCTCTGAAGTAGAAACTGTGCGGACAGCTCTTCTGGCTCAGTTTGAGGAGGTAAAACTGAAGCAGCAGCTTCAGTTCCAGGAAGAGATTGAGCTGTTGAAGTGTCAGTCGGAGGTGCTGCTTGAGCAGCAGATTGCGCAGCTGAAGGTAGGGTCTGATGAAAGTGAACTTCAGAGCATGTGCTGGTAGCATGTTTTTCTGAAAAAGCAATATTGGAAACGTTGCGGTGTTTTGTAAGCAGCTGTTATTTACTACAGGGTTGTCTTAAAATCCTGAACTGGATGTGAAACGGTGTCCTTCAAACAAAACAAACAAAGAGTGGAAAGTATTTGTGTACTATATAGCTAAGCACAGTCCTTGCATATGTTTATGTTCAGTTTGTCATTTGAAACTTTTTTTTCTCTTGGTGTCTGCGAAGACTATGCCCTTGGCCTATCATTCCTTGTCTACTGCACTTGTGTATATATATGGCAAAAAATGTTCAGTGTTACATAAGCTTTCAGCAAGGTGTGTGGTGACAGTGAGCACTTCGCACAGGAGATATTTTTTTAGTTATTCTTCATTTCTGCTTTCTTGGGTTCATCATCTGTCTTCCAAGCTTTCATGTTGATGAGCATCTTCAAGATGCTTATCCCTGAAAATTGTCTTTGTTTGACCTCATAGAATCATTAAGGTTGGAAAAGACCTCTAAGATCAAGTCCAACCGTCACCCCAACACCACCATGCCTGCTAAACCATGTCCTGAAGTGCCACATCTACATGTTTTTTGAACGCCTCCAGGGCTGGTGACTCCACCACCTCCCTGGGGCAGTCTGTTCCAATGCCTGACCACTCTTTCAGTAAAGAAATTTTTCCTAATATCCGATCTAAACCTTCCCTGATGCAACTCGAGGCCATTACTATACAATCATGTACGATACAGTAATCGCCTATCATCTTCTGAGCCTTGTGCAAAATGTCTTCATTGGTTAGGTGACAAGCACATGTCAAGCCACTAAATGAATGGAGAAGACATATCCTGTGTCCAAAGAGAAAGGGAGACTCGCCAACACACTGAGAGCAGTGCTTATATTCCTCTTGGAGCTATCGCTATACTGAGCATGTGCTGAGCTCAACTTGTTGAGCACAAATAAATTAGATGAGTTACCCTTTCCTTATTTGCTTCTCCTTGGGAGATTTCAACAGATCTTTCCTGTTCCTGTCAGTGCTCCAGCCAGAGGTGGGACTCTTCTGAACCGTTGTGCAAACCTCTAGAACTGGATGCTGCAGATGCACAGAAAATTTCTCCTCTTTCCCGCCTCTGGCCCACTGTGGAGTCCTGGCTGTTCTCTGACCTCGCTCGGTCTGGTGCAGCTGTCTTTTGAAACAGAGGACACACGTGTGTCCTGCAAAGCTGCTGGAGGTATATTTGGCATCGCTGTCCTCAGCTGAACCCCGGCCTTCCGCCCACAGGAGCTGGGGCTGGGCTGACTGTTGTGCGTATGCCCCAGAAGTGATTCCTGCTTTTCTCTCCTGTGCTGCCTAGGTGCTTTAGTTAGCACTGGGGACACAATGGGGACACCTCTCTTTTTGCTGACTTTTGCCAGGGGTAATTCTGCTGCTAGTACAGCTGTCTCGGGGGGTTTTTGCTCATTAACTTCCAGTTAATGTGACCAGTGTTTTGTCCCAGAAGAGACTGACTGGATCTCTTTGCAATGTCAGGCTGAGCTGCATCATAGTCTGATACAGGTTTTTACAATGAGCCTTCCCCTGCCTACTTCCCCCCTGCTCTTTTACGGGGTTGTCTTTATGCCAGCCAATTTCCCTGCTTTCTTCTCCCCTGCCTCCCCTAGCAGAATTTAGGTGTTCAGAGTTCCTTTCTGCAGTCTGACATACTCTTCTGATGGATGCACAGCTTCTGAGAAGGATGGGCAGGCTGCTACAAAGACTTTGTCCACAAGTTTGCTGTACTCCTGTGTGTCTGTTCATTGGCATCTTGCTAACTGCTGCTCTGCTGTTTGAGTCTACTCGGTGCGAGGGCTGGCTGAGTCTTCCCCAAAGGCTCCAGGGCAGCTCAGATGATGACATATGTTCTACTCTGAAGTCTTATTTCATGCTCTGGGGAAAAACTGGATTTATCAATAATAAAAAAGGCAGCTATCACCTTTGTGTCTTGGTGTTCATAGATCAAATCGCACAATTTTTTTAATACAGTGATCGAGAAGAGTCATTTCCCAGTCCTGGTGTTGCAGAAACAATTACTGATTAAGACTCCTTTTAGCCTCTTTGGGGAGGGATCCCAGGACCTTGTTTCACCTCCCTTATTTGCCGATGCAGGAGTAGGGGATGTTTGATAATCCCTTCCTTTAGAGCGCTTTAGAGTGCTCTGAGGGAAGTGAGGTCCAATTTCATAGCTTCTAGATAATTTAGCCATGCAAATGTACCTTGTAGATTTGCATTTTTTTCTGGTAAATCACTCCTCCTGTGTGGAACTCAGTACTATGCGTGTTGTACTATTTGCAGTTGCTTAAAGTGGTTTCTGTTCATCCATGTCTTGGCTTATCCATCCGTTTTCTGTCCCTCATCACTATCTCAGCAGTCTGAAATGAGCCAGGTCTCGGCACATTCAGATAGTTTATTTACCTACTTAACTATTTTTAAATCATAGTTTCAGCATCATTTTTATTGGGGTGTTAACTATGTAAGTTACTGCTAGTTAATCTGAGAGGTAAGGTGTGCACATTTAAATGGAAAAAAAAAAAAAGGAGGGGAGGATTTTGGTTGTGGGTTTTTTGGGGTTGGTTCCTCCCTCTCTAAATGAAAGTATATGTGACTGCCGCAGGATGAATTTGAAGCTGAAAAAAAGGCATCACTACATGACAAGGAGCAGCTGTTGATTCAGGAGAGGGAGAAAGCACAGGCTGCTCACCAAAAGGAGCAGGAGATGTTATCAACCCAGTTGCAGGACAAAGCCGCAATAATTATCCAGGTGCGTGGAAAATATTTTAAACCTTGATTTTAAATGTGTATTGGTGGTTGTGTTTTAGCACAGTGCTCAAACCATTCTCAAGATGTATACAGAGGGAGTGTGTACAGAATTCTTATGATCGCTAGTTTTCAAGGTGTGATGTATGAGGGACTCTGTTAGTTGGACTGCTACAGCAGTAACGTGGAAATTGAAACTGGGTATCGGCTTGAAAACTGGTCTTCAGCCATTTCTCAGGGAGATGAAAACTGCTCTATAAGAGAAGATTAGATGTTTGCCTTTTTGTTGTCTGTGTATTGATGCCATCTGTATCTATCATGGTTTTTTTTTGTCAAGAAAATAGTGCTCCAGTAGCTTTTGTTAGGCCAACTGACCTATAACTCGGAGGACGTAGGACAGGCAAATGGGAAGTTTGGATCTGGAAGAGGCAAAGATAGTGTTTGTTTGCCAAACAGAATGAAGGCAAAGATAGTATTTGTTTGCCAAACAGAATGAAATTTTATGCCTCCTGTAAAGCAAATACCTAGGTTGAAGCTAGGTTACCCAGAAAGCTTTAGAGAAACAGCTTTATAAAGGTATCTGTTTTCATCAGGGAGTTTAGAAAAGTCAAATTCTTTTTCAATGATTAAAATAATAGCTTTGAGTTTTCAAAATAGAAGATAAAACAAAAGAATACGTTTATGATTTCTCTCACAATTCAGGAAGCTCTGACCAAAATACAAGTTTGGTATATTAGACTGTTCTGTTAGGCCTTTATGTTTAGTGCGAAAACTGGGAATAATACTCAATTTCCCTACTGGAAGAAAAGCATTATTGTCTCCTGCTCTTCATACAGGATTTGGTGCGGGGTGAAAAAACTGGCACAGGAGTGGAATGCTTTTCTTTCCTTGCAGTTCCTCCCAGATAGAAATTTTGACTAATACGTTGGCTTACTTATGACACAGTTTCTAACAAAATAGAACTGATATTTTTGACAGCAAAATCTAGGGCTTGGGGTGGGTATTTACTCACTTATATGTATTTTATTTATATTTTAATGGGATGGAGGTGTCCTCTGAACATATATACATGAGGAGAGAAGACATTTTTCTAGAAATTGGTTTTCAAGCAGAGCTTATAAAGCAAAGAAGAAAGATGACTGGCATTGATGATGCTGGATCGGGTTGCCGTTCAGGTTTGTGTGCTACAGTGTCAAATTTATGCTAGGACATCGCTTTGTGTCTTTGAGGCATAATGATGAACACAAATTAAGTCCAAACTAAAGTATGATGCAAAGTTTTTATGAACTTTTTGCATTACTTACATGCACTGAGTCTGAATGCAAGGCAGCTCCCTGCAGCAAAATCAACATCAGAGAAGGAGAACTGAAAAAATAACCATTCATTTTTCATCGTTCTGCTGTCCTTCATTTCTAGTGCTTGTAGAAGTAAATTTATGTAATAGCAGATGATGATTGTGTGAATATATAGAAAGTGATAAAGGGTAAGATCATTGGGTGAGGTTTGTAGTTTAGACAAAATGATCGATTTTGTTGCTGTTTTCCACAGCTGGAAAAGAAAGTGGAGTCTTTAAACCATGAAATAGAGGAGACCAACTCCCAACTGGAGACACTCCTTCAGCGGCGGGACAGAGAAAACCAAGAAGGAGGGAATTTAGTAGCCTTGTTGAGATCTGATATCGAGCAGTCCAAGGATGAAAGGTTCATACATCTTGGGTTATATAATGTTGAGTGGTTGGCGTTTTGTTTGCTTGTTTTCTCACTTTCCATAAAGAAATCAATAACTAGGCAAAATTAAGTCAGCTCAAATTAATAGTGTAGGATGATAATATATTAGCTTTATTTGCAAGTTTTTTTGAGGGTTTTTTTAAATCCCAACCTACCTTGATATGGAAAGCAAGGATTTTTTTTTTCTTCCTTTTTTTCTTGTGGCCTGATGGAGACTTTAGTGTTTTGGGGTTTCCACTGTATAATCGTGGAAAAAGCTAGGAAATGGAGAAAGCCTCTTGGCCATAGAAACCTTTCAGTGCAATGTAGATTGGTTTAGTGTGTCATTGGAGTGCATGGGCTAGAGGGAAACTGCTGTACTGAATAAGCTTCTAGAAGAATTCCCTCTCTCAACTTTGAGAACCTGGCTTACTATTTTTGTTAAAACTACAATGTTTTCATAAATATAATTTTTGTTGGCTACTATGCTGGAACACCCCGAATTATTTTGACATTACAGATACTGTAGCAGCAGACATGTTCTCCCTGCTGGTGCTTCCACAGATGTGGAAGCCTGAGATGCTTGTGACTGTAGTATGATCTCTCCGTCTACCTGTGGAGAAGACAAAGGTTTTTTTGCTGAGCCTGCTCTGTGAAAATAACCTTAGTTTTTTTGTGAGTCGTCTGAATCACCTTCACTGATAACTGTCAAGCTATGGCAAGATACAGGTTTTAGACTGTCAGTTTTTCAGTAGATTCAAAGCATCTTTTAAATCAAGTACTTGCAATCTTTGAAGTGTTCGATATGCTTTTGTTCTAGGAAAAAACTGCAGGAATCTTATCAGCATGTTTTGAAATTGCTTATGGAGTTGGTGAAGGCCACGATAGCTGTTGAGGACCTCATCTGTAGCAAGATTGGTCTTTGCCTTGATGACAGTCTGGCTTCTGGAGATTCTAGAGAAAGTCACATTATTATGGAAGAAATGGCATTCATGCAGCATTTGAAAGCCAAAAAAAATCATCACCTAGAAAAAGGTGAGTATAAATCTACGTAATTGGATGTAGCCAATTCATGTTCTGGAAAAATACCTTTTCATTTCCTTTTACATGGATGAGGTTCAGAAGGGAGATGGCTCTTGTTGCAGTGTTTTCCGTGTCCCTTTCAAAGTTGCTTCACGCTTCAGATAGTGTCTATCGGTGTTCTTTTGTTTTAATTCTTTTAATAGTGCAACTGCTACAACGTTGCTGGAAAAGGCTGAGTGGATTATAGGGCAGGAAAGAGGAAGTTGGGGAATGCAGAGTTTCAGGCCTGGTTGTATAGCACAGTATTTCCAAACATCATGAAAGACTGTCTTGATTTGTCAACACTTGAGTTACAGATGTGTACAAGTTTTCACGTTGTAACACATCTTCAGGACCAATCAATGTCACTGTCTGGTGTCAGTTGTGTTTTGGTTTCGGCTGCCGCCAGCAACAAAAGTGCCACGCGGCTACTGGTGGGTTGGGATAAGGGGAGTTTAACAGAACAACAAAGTGAAAAACAGTAACAATGATACAGATAAGGAGAATAGACAAAACAAAACATCAGAACACAGCCAAGCAGAACCCAGCCTGACGGCACATGGTATGGAATACCGGGCTCTGTTTGGGCAGGTGGGGTCAGCCCCCACCCCCCGGCTGTGCCCCTTCCTGGAGTCCGGTGAAAATTAACCCTGTCCTGGCCAAACCCAGGACAAGTTGTTATCTGAGTGGCGAGTTCTGTGTCATTTTTCTGAGACTTTGAAGTAGTTTGCTTGTTTTCAGTAGATGAGCTACTTGATGAGACTCTCACAGAACACAACCAACTGTCTCCAGCGACTGACGAGGGGTCTGAGTTGAGCCAATACTTGTGTGAAAGTCTTTTTGCAAAGCCAGAATTGGCATGCGAAAATGAAGAAATGACACTGAAAATTTGTCATCGTTTGCGCACTGCAGTGGAGAGACTTCTGGAACTGGTTACGGAATCAACTAAACAAGTAAAACTTTAGTCTGTGTAGATGTATAATTACAATGAAAATGCGGAATCTGTTTTAAGGCTTGTGTATTTAGCACCCTGTAGGACTGGCTACTGAAAAGAAACGAATTTGGTCCGAATACATGACAAGCTATCAGTGTAGGGAGGCATGTGCATCCCCTGCTTCTTGCTGTGAAGATTTTGTCCTTATTTGATCATTTCTTATAAATGAGACTTTAATGAATTGGTTTTTTTTCTTCTAGCAGATTCTGTAGGAAAGCTACAAATGGGTTGCCTTAAGTAAATTTAAACTAGGATTTTGGATGCATTTGGTAACTTCAGGAGACTGAGAGTTATGGGTTTTTGAGGGGGTTTTATCGCACTCCATCAGTGCTTCTTCAGCACTGATAAGGAGGTTCAAGAAAGCTCAGTCGCATGTTAAAATGTTTTGGGACTATATAGACAGCAGCAAGCAAACGTCCTTGTAATTATATACTGCTTAACTGTGACGAAAGGAGCTGAACTCAATATCATAAAAGAATATGAGTATTTCCGTGCTGAGTTTTGCAGTGTTTAGACATTTGGCTTTGAGAAGAGATGTTGTAACTCTGAGGTAGATGTCTGAGTACTGTATACATTTAGAGGACTGAATTCAGTGCTACAGAAATTAGCTTGTTGATTAAAGCAGCCCCTAATTTAAGAGAAAATATGAAGGGAAGGAATATATCTGAAATTCATCTTTTCGTCAGATATTTTGTGCAAACCAGAGAGAAGTGTCTGTGTGAAATATATATTCACCTTCTTCAAAAATACCTCCTAGAATGAGGTGCTTGAATTTGTACTTTTAGGTACTGATGCTGGTTCCACTAGCATGTTGCTAACTTGTGGTTAAAGCACTTGCCTGAGCCGTGGCAGATTTAGATACTAAGTCACTTTCATCAGCTGCATTCAAACATACTTTTCTTATGTCTGTGAAATGTTCACCAGGAGAAGCTAAATATAAAGTAAACAGGAGTGGGGCTGCTCTATTCTTTACCTTTGAACTTGAGACGTTGCGCATAGGAGTGCAGGATACGTAGTGTCAGATAACTGGTGCCCTACCTTGGAAACCTGGTGATGTGTTGACTTCACTGTCTATTAGACACGCCTGAATCTCTTGAGGAACTTAAGAGTAACGAAGTGTCAAGCTGAGCAGTTTAGCCAACAGGGAGGTATCTCTTTTTATGCACAGTGAAGAAACTTACAGGCCTAAGGAAGATTTGTGGCGAAAGTATGGGTATGTGAGTACAAGGAGTCACAAAAGTGTCCAGGGGTTTTGGGCAAGGTCAACCTAGTACTAAACTGAAACTTGAAAACCTGGACCTCAATGCATAAATGTTACAAAAAATTAAGAAGTTTTTTGTTTAAATGTCTGTAGTATTAATACATTGTATGTGCATCCAAGATCCGATGCTAGGGGAAATTGTTTACTTCTAGCTGGAGAAGATGCATGAAAACCATGCGCAATTTGAAGAAGAATTCAGCCGCCGAAATCGGGAAACTGCCCAAGTGGTTAGTCACCACCAGGAGCTGATGGAGTGCCTCAGTGAGGAAAGTGAGGCCAAGAATCAGCTGGCACTAGAGCTTCATAAAGCAGAGGGTAAGAGGATGAAACCAATATAAAGAGATTTCGGTGTCATTTACTCATAGCTCATTCCTACAAGTATCTGTGATATACTTTTTGTGTCTTTTGTTGTTGATTTGCCTGTCTGTAATCCATTTTCTGCTTTTCAGATTGCCAAGTTACTCGAAGTATGGGTCTGCTCTTGCAAATCTACTACTTAATTCTCTTTGTGCATTTCCCTGGGGCAAGCACAATAGTGCTTAGTCCTATAGTTATACCATTGACTGTGTGTGAAAAATACTGTAATTTTTAAAACAACAGTTTGCGTTCCTGCATGTCTAAACATGGGAACTTGGATTATTGAAAAGAATGTATAGTCCCAGTGTAAATCAGCCCACCTGTCTGACCTCTGAAGGGTTCAGCACGAACTAGAGCGATATTTGATGGTAGTGCAGGCATGAAGAGATTTTCTAAGAAGAGACAAAAAGGCTGAGGCCATTGATCTCAACAGTATCTCAGGCTGCGTATCGTCTGTCTGATTCCTCCTTGTGAAGATTACAACTTCAGGTCTTCGCCTTTATGTAGGGGAATCTTGGAGGGTTTCTGTTGCAAATTCAAGTTGAGCTTCTCTCCCTCATCATGGCATCTGCTTTCCTTCCCTCTTCTCAGTCCGTGTTCCTTTTAGGCTTATTTCATCTTTACAAAATCCTGTTTCCTTCCTTTCTGTGAATCATTTCTGGATTTCTTAGGTTCTGAATCTACACTTCATCTTACTTTCTGGAGATTCTGTTTCTTGGAACCTCAGCAGAGGATGTGTCAGGCTCTCGTGTTGTGAGGTGATCCCAGGCCATCCAGGCGTAACGATCCCCATATACATTCTGCGTGCTTGGAGACATTCTGTGACATGGCAGCCTCATAAAAACTGTTAGAATATATTAACTGGAACATTTCATTCTTTAAGATACTTGAAAAAGCGTAGCTACAGTGTAAATTTAAGTCATCTTGCACTTCTTCCTTTCTATGTCACCTGCCATTTGCAAAAAATTGTGTACTCGTGTTCAGACTGCTTTTTTCCAGTAGATGAGATTGTCTGTTGCTTTATTTGCATTCTGACTTGGAATTTTAGGCATTATTGAAGGTTATGTTGCAGAAAAAGCTGCATTGGAAGAAGCCTTGAATCTGAAAGAGGAATCTGAGCGTCGCCTTGTTGTGGAGCTGGAGAATATGCGTGAACGCTTCCAGGAGCTAACGCAGGAGCAAGCAATTCTTGGTGAGGAGTGGGTATGACACTATTGGTGGAAAACAAATGGTCTCCAGGCAGGGTACACTGCAATATGTTTCTGTAATTAGTCAGTCTTGGGTTTGATGACCTAGTGAGCAGCTCAGTCTGGTACAGAGGTTAGCAGGGTCTTCCTGGAAGAGCAGAAAATACAATAAAACAGCTGGTTCTCTGCTTGTAAGACAATACTACTGTTAGTGAAGAGTACTGCTGTAGTCTTATACTTAGTTAGAAATGGAAAGTGTCGTGAGAAAATAGGAGGTGTGTATTTGTGTATTAACTACAGGTAGTTAATTGCAACAGAGAATTAGCACCTAGTTAGTAACTGAAATGCTATTTTTTTGACACTGCAGTCAGAGAAGAGTTGGAGCTTCCAGGACTAAGGAGATAGCTTAATGATGGAAGAAATAAAGTACTCCTGGAAGATAATTTGAATTACAAAAAAATTATGATGGTGATGAGTACTTAGTTTCATGCATAAACTTTTTCCCGGCTCCCCAGCCTTGTCCTGTCGAAACACACACGTGTGATCATTAAGGGTGCCCGTGGAAAGATTTTAATGATCAAGCTCAATGTCTGCTTAGGTTTTTAAAGGAAAGCACATGGGTTGAAAAAGCTGAATGAGGTAGTGTTCTTGGAGAGGATAAGCTGAGGCAAGTATCTTAAACTTCTCTATAAAGGGTGATTCACTGCAAGCCCAAGACAGCCACTTGAAGTGCCAAATCAAACTCGGGTAAGTAGGTGCAAATAAGCAATCCACAGAACTCTTTCTCCCACTCCATCACTCCCTCGGCCCCACAGAGTGTGTGATGTGATAAAAGCTAACTACAGGGAGCTTGTGTGGGGAAGTGGAGTAGGATAAAGGGGAACTCTTCAACGCACTGGATGGGGTCTAGTAATAGTGAGTAGAAGCTGAGGCTGTGATAACTCACACTGCAAATGAAGGAGCATACGTTTTAACAGTGGCAGCAGTGATTTAATAAAGATTCAGAATCTTGGTATGTAATATAGCTGGCTTACATGTAAGTTTGTTTTTTTGTTGGTTTTTTTTGATTCAAAGAAGAAAATTCAGGAGGTGTTATGAGACTTGCTCTATGCAGGAACTCAAGACTGGGTTATGCTGGTTCTTAATGATGAATCTGTGAATCATTGAAATAGTGTTATATAGTTTTGGCTTCTTGAATTGACAGCCTTAACGTCATTCTAGTACTTGTGTAAGTGAACTTCTCTGTATCATCTTCCAGTAGAGATGTTATCGTTTGGGATCACTTGCCTTTCCATTTCTGCTAACGCCAACATTACGCTACCCTCAGCTATGTCACCACAATGCCACCTTCAGCTATGTTTAGCTCTTTACTGCCTGAGCAGACTGTAGAACAGGGAGCTGTATGTAGCACATGCTTAGTCAAAAATAAGGACAGCAAGAAACAGTTTTCTAGTGAATGTCTCCCTTGTCGGTAGTAGAAGAATGTAAAGATGCTAGGTTTCAGGGTATGGACCCAGATTCTGTAGGGGTGTGTTTGACTTGACACAGTCTGTATGTTGCAGTTATCTGTCCACTTTTCAGGAGCCTCTGTTGTAGACTCCTACCTGGCTTTCAGCCATACTGTATCATTCCTCTGCAACTCTTGTTTGTCTCTCACCTCTCCCCCAGCTCGTCTTTTCTTCTCTTCACCTTGCTGCTCTTCACCTCTCTTCTGACTCTTGACTCCACCGTTTTCCTGGTCTTGTGGGCTAACGTCCTTCGGAGTTCTTCCTTTTGGCTCTGCACTCAACCTTTCAAATATAGTGCAATCAAAATACTCGTGTTTTATGTAGAATCATAAAGGGTTTGGGTTGGAAGGAACCTTTAAAGGTCATCTAGTCCAACCACCCCACAATGAACAGGGACATTTTCAGCTAGAATAGAATGTTTTCAGTTGGAAGGGACCTACAATGATCATCTAGTCCAACTGCCTGACCGGAGCTGACCAAAAGTTAAAGCCTGTTGTTAAGGGCATTGTCCACGTGCCTCTTAAACGCTGACAGGCTTGGGGCATCGACCCCCTCTCTAGGAAGCCTTTCCCAGTGTTTGACCACCCTCTCGCTAAAGAGATGCTTCCTGATGTCCAGTCTGAAGCTCCCCTGGTGCGGCTTTCAATCACTCCCATGCGTCCTGTCCCTGGATCCCAGGGAGAAGAGCTCAGCCCCTCCCTCTGCACGTCCCCTCCTCAGGAAGCTGCGGAGAGCAATGAGGTCGCCCCTCAGCCTCCTTTTCTCCAAACGAGACAAACCCAGAGTCTGTAGTTGCTCCTCAGGGGACATGCCTTCCACCCTTGTCACCAGCAACTGGACCAGGTTGCTCAGAGCCCCATCCAACCTGGCCTTGAATGTTCCCAGGGACGGGGCATCTACCACCTCTCTGGGCAACGTCTGCCAGTGTTTCACCAACCTCAGTGTAAAAAATGTCTTCCTTACATCTAGTCTAAATCTACCCTCCTTTAATTTAAAACCATTGCCCTTTGTCCTATTGCTACAAGCCCTATTAAAAAGTATAGTAGATATGTTAATATTAAACATTGTGTCTGTCTCTGACCTCTCATATAACATTTTAATAATGTCTTACTATTACCTAAAGAGAGAACTGAGTAGTGATCTCATGCAGGTTGTTTTGGCTTACAGAGCCTACGCTCATTTGCCCCAGTAAGCAGAGGAAGAGGTTGGGGCAGACTTCTCTGTCTCTGGGGAAAGACAGCAGAACATCAGCGGGTTCAGGGGTTGTCACTGGAACTAAACACGTTGTGCTTGCTTTGCGACAGTAGTTATGGCCTCAAGGAATATGTACTGCAGGGAACGCAAAATAATTCTGTGATATTGTTGAATGCAAGGATATCTGTGTGTCGTGGAGAAGTATGGCAGATTAGAGAGTCTGTAAGTCTGTGCCGGTGAGTCCCGCTGGACCGAATTCTGCTTTGAATCCCACAGCAGGGACTAAAAGGGGGGGGTGAGGCAATAATTATTCTGTCTCTGTCTGGGGAAAACTGCAAAAAGAGAATATTGTCTTAGAAAATGCTGAAGTGACTAGCCAAGAATGTTGCAGCAAACTTGCGTGGTTGTAATGTGAAACTGTTTCTATAGTAGCTCTAGTCCAATTACAGACATGGATCAACGTATGCTGTAAGGAGCTTTGTGTCTTAATAAAGATGAAGTGCTTTTTTTCTGAATAAAAGGTAGGCACTGTCTGCGTTGCATTTGAATTTTTAGTGCTTTAGGAGATGGAATGTCCTGTTCTTGTCTTGTACATCTCTGTGTTTCGATTTCTAGGAACACCTGTTGCTAACGTAGCACGAAAGAAAGGTTCAGGTTTGTAATGATCAGTGTGGCTTTTTCTGATTTGTGTTGCTGTAACACTGAGTGAATGAGTTGATAGTTTTGGTTTTGATTTAACAAAGAGGAATAGTACTTTGTAAATAGGCCCAAGAAGTTACTGGGATTATGCGTATCTTGGCAAAAAAAAAGTTACAACTTCTGCGATGCATTAGAAAACAACCCAAACTAAGAATATTCAATTCACTGATCAATATTTAAAGGAAAAAAATGTTTTGCTGCTGTTAGGCTTAAAGTGCATTGTGCAATTATCTTCGAATTTGCCAGCTTCATTTTTATGCTGAGGGGATGGGGTGGGTTCTAAGCTTGATGTGAGCTGCTGCTGATACACAGTGGGCTCTTAAAATGATTAAATGAAAGGGAGAAAACCAGAAAAAATATTTGACTTGATGTGAAATGGAGAGCCAAAAAACAAATGCAGCAAGAACTGAAGGAGAAGTCTAAGGGAGACTAGGGAACTGTGATTGAATGGATAGGTAGATCAGAAAAAAGAAGGGGGAAGCAAAAATGTAGGGAAGGCTGGCTAGGTATGGGAGGAAAAATGAAACCGAAAACAAGCAAGAAGGATCTGCAGAGTTTTACACGGAGTATGGAAGTCTAAGGCTGAAGTAAAATTTGTAGGTGCCATATTGGAAGGGGCATCTTTTTTATTTATTTAACTTTCCTCCTAAACTAGAGTGTGCATACTTAACTTCTGAGTAGCAACCATGTAAGTCTGATAAATTCAGAGCTGCCAGGATTAGGTTTTGTGGTCTACTCAAAATATAATTCCCTTACCACATTTTTAGATTAATTTTATTTATACATATATATTCGTAGCTGTCTTCTCTTGCATGTTCACTGTCTCTTGTTTCTAGACTTTTTCTTTTCCCCCAAAGGGTGTGAACTGGGTAAACCAAGTCCCTCGGGTGAATAAAAAATAATTATCTAGGTAAATTCCAGTTAGGGTTAAAAAGATGCACTGGGCTGTCTTGTCCATTACTGTATCTTTATTCTGTCTGTCCATTCAGATCCCTCAAACACTATTTTTATTTAAAATATTTTTGGTAACCACCTTACTGTTCTGAAACTTGCTGCTGCCCGCACAGTGAGAAGGAACATCTAACCTAGCATTCTCCGGGTAGCTACAGCCCAGCTCTTGCTAGCAGCTCATTAGAACTTCAGCAGCTGCATTTGCTGCAAGTGCTGAACCCTCAAAATCATCCCTTTTCCCCCACCCCAGCCATCTGTAGTACTCTTCCTCTGCTGTGGAATTGGTTGTGGTATGTGGAAAACACAATACATAAAAATCGTATGGTTTGGAGTTGATTGACATGGCTGATTCCTTGCAAAGCTGCTGCCCCCTCCCTTCTTTGATGTGGAGTACTAATGTGAGTAGAGTGGCCTCGCTAATAAAATGCGCTTAGAATGGAGCTTGGCGTTTGCTAATGACGATCTTGGGAACAGGGAGGAGCGTGCCGAGGCATTACCAAAGTGGAATTGCATGGTTTGAATTAGCATTAATTGCTTGACATTTTATTTTTACAATTCAATGTGTACTTAAAAAAAAAATTAAAAAACTGCTCAAACAGATTACATGTATTGAGATTGGAAAAATTTGATACCTGCTTTCCATGATACACTTTAAATTCCATGTAAAATCTGTTAGCCTAATTACTTTTTTACATTAACTTGCATTTCTATCTGAGGTGGTGACCGTGACTGTTTATTTCAGTTTTATCTAATGAGTATTTTGTTCCTCAGAAAGCAACAGTGTTCCTTTTGAAAATAAAAAGAAGCCCTCGGCTTACTAATGACCACGAGAGCATCAGTGCCTTTCTCGGGGTCCCAGCCCACCTACGTGCCCTTCCTGCGGGCGCGTGTATCTGCGCACGCCGTACCTTGCCCTCCTCTCTCTAAGCGCGTACGGTACAGTACTGGTGTATTCCCAGCTCCTGCCTGGCAGAAGACAGTGCTGGGTAAATGATCCGCTCTGTTGTGCGGCTGTGGCTGGGATTCGGTCTCCTGAGGGAACTCAGACTGGCGTCGGCTTTTTTCTGGGCTGTGTCTTTCAGCCTTGGATAACCTGGCTCTGTTGCAGCGCGCGATGGCAGCAGCCTGTGGCAGGCAGAGTCCAAGTTACATCCACAGCCCAGTGAACCACTGGATTAGGAAATTCAGAGCTTAGTCCATGTGGTTATTTAGCACTGCACTAGAAAAATAGGGAGCATGGCACAGCGATTGTGCAGTTGTGATTCCGTAGGCAACGGAGATGCCACTCTCGGTAATCGTGAGTTTGCAAAATTAGTGCTTGGAGTGAGATGTAGTTGGAATGTAGGTGTGGATTATCACTCAGAGGCAGAAAGTATTTATACTTACTAGGACTAGAGCTTTTTGAGATATGTAGTCTGGGTGTATATCTCCAGCAGTTCCTCAAAGTCCTTAATTAATCTTGTGATTTGTATTTAGCAGCCAATAGCAAACTTAAAATGGCATTCTTCAGGTTACTGAATTTCATCTTAAACTCAATTTGATTTTTATACCATGCACTAACAACTTTGTTGTTATTTTTGTGTCCTTATTCAGGTCTACTCAAGGAAGTAGAACTTTTAGCAAAGGAGAAATTAGAGCTTCAGTGTCAGGCAGAAAAGGACCATTCCAACTTACGCTCTCAGATGAAAGTTTTGGAGGTCGAACTGGAAGAGCAGCTGAATAGTAATCAGGACCTGGCTACACAGTTACTGGAGGTTGCTGAATTAAAACAGCAAATTCAAGTTCTGGAAAAACAGCTTAAAAACCAGCGGCAATTCATGGATGTAAGCAAGCTTGGTACCACATTTCCATGGTTTTGGAGGTGATGAATACTCCTCCTAGTTTGGGACTGAGACTGGGAAGATGGTTCCTAAAATGCGATACTTTCCGTTTTGTTTGAAATTAAGACCTTGGTATTCTAGTATTGTAGAAGAAAAAAAAGGGGTAGTTTTTTTTTAATTCCTGTTCTGTAGTATTAAAGGGTTTTTTTGTTTTGTTTTTATTAATTGCTAATGGTAGTTTGTATGTACATTGAAGTCAAAAAGTCTTTCAGGACTACTAATAGTTGTTAATTATTTTTAGGTGAGCATAGTTTCTTCACCGCAAAAACAAACCCCAAAATCTTCTTATACTCAATATTTTAATGACATGCAAAGTTTCTTAAAAAAGGTTGTCTCTGGCTGGGCTTACAGGAACAAGCTATAGAAAGGGAACATGAACGTGATGATTTTC